AGGTGTTGTTTCCCCTGTGGTCAGGACAAAAGTTTCCAGGAAAGCATGAGAAAACAATGTGACTTCTCCAGGGGGGTCTGGGATCACGGGTGGAGTGTGATTTTTCAACTGCTCAGAAAGGGAGCTTTGGTTCTTTAGACTTTAATAAGGTAAGGTCTAGTGCAGTAAGAGTTTACCATGCAAATCTACTTTCATCTGATGACTTTTTCCCCTTGATATGAAGGGGTGACACAGGGAAGATGGAGCAGGACTCCAAGAAGACACTTGTCGGGAAGCAATGGACATAATTGGGAATGTAAGAAATTTGGATTAGACATTAGAAATTATTTTTAACTTGAGGATGCTTGAACACTAGAATAAGTTGCCCAGAAAGTTTGGAAAATCTCTGTCCTTGAGGCTGTTGAGGCCCCAGATGACCTTGAACAATGCAATCTAATTAGATTAGTTTTGAGCAGGGGGATCAGAATGACCTGTGGAGATCCTCTCAGTCTGCAGTGGAGTCTCTGATTCTGGTGTTCTGTGGTGACAGTCACTAAAGCTGCTCCATCTTCTTTTCCTTTTTCCAGCAGCAAGAAGCACCACAGGATGACAGCCCCTCATACAAGTAAAACAGGATGCAGTGTGGTGCCTTAGTGTCAGGCCATCAAACAGTGCCATTCAGCAGAACTCTGAGCCAGTATCACCTGTTGTAAGGGAATCCACCATTTCTGGGCTCACCCCTTCAAATACCATCATTTTGGATGGTGTTCACTCCCATTCTCATATCTAATGATGTCATTCCATGGCCTTCCCATCCCTAATCTTTCTCTACTGTTGCACATACTCTTCTTGCAAGCTTCACTCTTCCAGGGCTGCAAGTGCTCCCCCAGCTCCAGGGGGCATCACCACACAGCTGTCTTGGATGCCCTTGGAAAAACATTGACTTTGAATCTGGCAAACCTGATGTCCCATCTCTGTCTATTCTGTCCTCTACCCTGTTCTTTGGTGTTGGTTTGTGTTTTATTGCTCAGCTGACAGCTGTACCTTCACATATCCTTCTTCCTTTGTGCTTCCATGTTGGGTTTCCCATCCTACTGTAAATATCATCTAGTTTGGAATACTCTAGTCTGGTAGGCATTGGAAAATGATTTGGGAAGCAGAGGAGAGTGCTGTCATTTAGGCTGTTTGAAGACCAAAGGCTGCTCTGCCTTTGCCTTGGTGAAAATCACAGAAGCACTGAAGGAGGGAGAGAGCCTAACCTTGGCAGGAAGCAAAAGGGTCAGATGCCAGTTGGATGCTCCTTGTCTAACCTAAGGATGCCAGCAGGAAATGTAGTTTGAGGGGAATTGGAGTTGCCCATTCTAGAATTGTTCTGCTCACATCTTTGGGGATGTTGGCAGGATATTTGTGCTTTCTGTACCATAGCAGGTGAAATTAGGGTCCTTTCTTCTCCTTGCCTATCCAACCCATCTGAACAGCTCTCAGTGCTGGAACTGCTCCCTCTAACCCTTACACATCCCTGAGCCATCCAGATCTCTCAATGGAGGAAATGACAGTTATTTATAATTAAGCCTTGACAAAAAATGTTGCTAATGTCAAGGGAATGGCAGGCGACAGCCAGAAAAACATCATGTCTCCAGAAGAGGGACTGCAGGAATATCCCTCTGAATAGGGCTGACGTCGGCTCTTGGAATTTGGACAGCCTGGAAGACTTTGGGGCTATTTTTCCGAGATATCATAGGTCAGGAATTGATGCTATTTTTAAGTCTGTGTCCCCCGAGCAGCTTTGATGAGTGAAGGAGACTTTCTCTCCCCCCTCCCCACCCTTATGCTCTATTTCTATGAAATTTTTGCTTCTATTCCTTCCGAGTCATGCCACAAGTATGTCCTTCAGGTTTGTTTATCCTTCTCACTATCTGTTCCTCCCGGCCTGCTCCCGCCTTGGTTGGGTTGGAGGGGTGGCGTCAGCGTGGCGCGTGTCTGGGATGCTCAGGCCAGACATCACAGGCAAGGGATCGAGTTCTCCTAATTTGTCCTTTCCGGTTGGGAGAGTTTTCTCTCCACAAGCTGATGTGGCTGGGGAAAGTGTTCTGGGAATGCTGCTTTGTGGTGGGAGATTTCAGGGCCTGGTGAAGACAAGCTGGTCATCTCATCTCGCTGCATAGCCCAGCCAAGATCTGTCTGAAGTAACTGAGTCTTCGGAGCTCCTGGGAACATGGGTGAGATGCCTCCAGCCTGGGATGGTCTTTTGGGGCTCACTGGTAGGCGAGAGGCAGGCAGAAGACCCTGATTATCTGACACCTCCCAAGTCAGAAGTGGCTTCTGAAAGCCTTTGCTGTTTCAGGTCCAGGGAAATAGCCCTTCGGTTTTCCCAGCTCTGTTCCACATGCCACCGTGCTCTAGTTTATTTCTGGAATCCTTTATTTTTTTCCATTTTTTTCTTCTTCTCTTCAATTTGCTGTAGCAACTTTTTTCTTTCTAAACAAGCCTGTTGGTGTAACAGCTTGACTAGGGATCTTGCCATTTCAAACAAGAAAGGAAAAGGGTTTCCTTTCTCACTTCACATCTGAGATGAGAATGTGCCTTTTTCCCCTTAGCCCATCCTCAGCTCCATCCTCCTGTCTGTCATCCCATGTAGTGAGGAATACACTAATGGCCATCACTGCTAAAGGACCCCACCAGAAGCAGCTTGTTCAAACAGAGCTGGTGTTCCTTCATGGGGAGCCCAGTGTACAGAAACAGCTGTGCTCCCTTCAGAATCTCTCCACACAGCTCAAAGGTGCCAGTTGCTCCTGGAAGCATGGGAATAAATGAAATGCTTTCCACCACCTTAATGTTGCTGTTGGCCTCATGCTGCAGGTTTAGTCATTCTTATGACATATTTCCACGCTGGTGTGTTTCCATCATCATTCCACAGTGATGTATTTAAAGCCTTTCCATGAGTTGTTTTTTTGTTTTGTCTTGCTCAGAATCTCTTAAATGAATGGCTTCACAAACTGTGGGTCAGGGTCTTTAAGTTTTGAAGACTTAGAGACAAGTCATAGAAATGTGGAGATAATGTCTGCTACCTGTCCTAAGCATGTCTCAGCCCATGAGGTTGATGGCAGAGATGGTGGAAATGGTACCACTTAATTTATAGAATCATAGAATATCCTAAGATGTAAGGGACCCACAAGGATCATTGAAGTCTGTTTAAAAGGGTACCTGACATTTGCAGCACAGTCCAAGACCCTAAAATTCCATTGCTATTATTATTATTGCTGATATTAGGTTAGACTTTGATTGTTTTGCATAGTTGAGGACATAAACTCCCTAAAGACCAATGCTGGGATTGTTGATGTTCTCGTGAATGTGATACAGTCTTTTGACCTGTGCAGAAACACTCACATAGAGGGAAGAGTGGAACCTAAATTTCCTGACTGCTACCCGCCTTTCCTAGCCCATTACCTTCCTGTGGCCTTTAGAAATGGATGTCTTGGATATCACATTCCAGTGTGTTTTCAACTCTTTATTCCCAGTTCTGAAGACAGGAGGCGAGACCGCCAGCAGTGTTGTTAGGAGACTTTCCCCTCTAAACTTGCCCTTTGATGAATCTGGCTCCAGAGATTACCCTCTTCTCATTAAGCTTATTTTGGGAAATCTTGCTTTTTCCTCTGCTGGCTCCTGTAGACATCCCAAACCTCATCTGAAAGATCCAGATCATGAGCAGAGGGGGCAGTCTTCTCCAAGGTCCATTTTGAGCAGAGCTGCAAGAAATTTTTTTTAATTTTTTTTTTTGAGTGTGTTCCAAGACACCTTTTGCTCATACTTTTCCTTGTGCTATTCCCTGGGATGTGTTTTGATGAGAAATGTGCCTAAGCACTGCTGGGACACCCTTGTTTTTACCACATACTGCTGTCTCTGGCATACTGGTTTTCCTGGGGAAAGGGATGGAATGGAAGGCCAGATAGGCTAGGGAAGCCAGAGAAGACACTTCTCAGCTGACAAACTCTCTGCTCCCAACAGTAAGGTGTGATGTCCATTCCTCTCTTGCCCCATATGAGGGGCAGCCCCTGAAAAACCCTTGTTCGAAGCATTTGGAGTTCCGGATTAAATCTTCTCTCCTTCCAACTCAAATTCTGCTTTTGTGATGCCAAACCCCCTCTCTTTTCCCTAGCAGGACCAAACTCTGCATTTCCTTCTCCTCTCATATTTTCTCCTCCTGTTTTATCATATTTTATTACTTATTCTCATATTTTGTGTAGCTTCTTTTGTCACCATAATTGGAAAGCCTTGTCTAGGAGTAGAACTCACCAACAAAGCTACTGTAATGAGCAAAACTTCTTCAGGTTTGCATGAGTGCCTTCCACCCACACCCAAACCCCTCACTACATGAACTTGCACCTTACAGAGCAGAGTTTGCAGTGTCACAGGACATCCTGTGGAAATTCTGAATATTTCAGTGCTTTAACACGCTCTCGGTTTCAGAGCTAAGGATGTCTCCATGTCTGGTCCAGACGCTTTTCCCTCTGAAACAAAACTCACCAGCCCAGGTTCCTCATGTCAGTTTGCAGGAGACACTTGGCACTGTCAAACCAGCCTGAGTTGGCAATGGTGGCAGCTTGGATCAGGGGAGAATCCTGTTTTTAGTTCCCCTTGGGATGCCTTTTGCAGCTGCAGTGTGCCTGGAGCTCTGGGCTTTGTAGTTTTCAGAACCGTAGCAGACGGCCAGCCACTCAGCATCACAGGCCTCTGAGCACCAATGCCAGCCCTTTTCCCTGGCAAACAAAACTCAGCAGCCCAGGTTCCTGATTGCAGGAGCCACTTGGCACTGTCAAACCAGCCCGAGTTGGCACTGATGCCAGCTTGGGGCTGGGAGGCATCCTGTACAATGCGGAATTTCAGGAGCCAGCCTGCCACTCCGGGCCACAGGGCCCCGAACACCAATGCTCCTTTGTAGGATGTCTCTGAGTGGCTCCCACTTTTCCTCCTCGCTCTGTTTAGAATGTGTGATGAATATTTCCTCTCTTTTGACATTACAGGGCTTACATGAGTGTGAAGGAGCTGAAGGAGGCTCTGAAGCTGAACAGCACCCATTTCCTCAATATTTACTTTGCCAGTTCGGTGAGGGAAGAGTTGGCTGGTGCTGCCACTTGGCCGTGGGACAAAGAGGCCCTCAGTCACCTGGGTAAGTAACTTATCCCATTCCTGGGGTCCCAGAATTATTGGTTTTCCTCTCTCTTCCTCGACTTGGTAAATAGAGGTGGATGTGTTGTGCCTCAACATTGTGGATGTTTCATACGAAGGTCACAATAACAGGATTTGGTTGTACCAACAGCTGCTGCTGCAAGGAAAACAGCTGTCTATTCTCTGAATCCATGTGGGTAGGGTTGTGAGATTACCCACTGACAAGGGGCTTCAACATTGTTACGAGAAACTTTTGATGGTGAAGGTAGTGGGACTACAGTTTTACCATAAGTGCAGGCTCTGGAGAGAGTTCTACTCACATTTGGTTTCTCCTGAACGTTCAAGGTCTATCTTTTAGTATTCTGGAGACAGTGAATTTCACTCTGCAGCACATAATAGCAAACAGATACAAACCAGAAGTGTCAGTGTTTTCAGAGCTGAGATGGCTGATTTCAGCAGCTCCAGGGCTGCTCAGGCAGCAGCCAAAACTGGCCACTTCCGAATCCAGCTGCAAGTGTGAGGATAACTATCAAATTTTACCATGTTTTTATAACTTGGCCTACTACCTGCTGGAGGCAAGGTTCTCCTTGGCCTCAGAGGATTCAGGGCGGACCCTTAAGGTCATCAGTCCTTGTAGGCTGCAAAAGAGCCAAAACGTCTGCTGGTTCCCTAGAATGTGGTTGTTTTGTGCATTTTCTGCTATTTCTGTTGTTTCGCTTCTTCCTGCCTCTCCTACCACCTCTTCAGTTGTTGGAGTTTTCTGGCAAAGCCCTTTACATTTTGCAGTCAAAATGTCTAAAGTGTTTCTCAATAAGTAACTGGAAATAATTACTCCCGACACCTGCACAGCAGACCTAGACCTTCTGCTTTTACAAGTGCGTGATGTTCAACCCTGAAAAGTTTTATACTGCTGTTAAAGACCTGTTTCAAAGTTCCTTTGTGCCAGTTTCCCTCCCTCAATGAGTTTCAGGGCTGTTTTTTCGATAGCATATTGCTACAGCTGCTTGTTGAGGAAGGCAAATCTCCATGAAATTTATTCTTTCAGCTTCCAGAAATCACTTCCAAGGCTCAGCTTGACAATCATCTGACTGCAGCAAGTGCTTCAGCCACACACATTCCCCTCAGACCTCTCCCAATGGCCTGCAAGCCGTTGTACAGAGGGGTAATTGGGGTGACTGGTCTCATCAAAAGCCTTCGTTTAGTTCCAGTCTCTGAGCTTGTGTCCAGCCAGGGAGATGACACATGGCACCATCTGGAAATGCTGGATCAGGGCTTTAGTGTGGAGGTTCAGGGGAAAAGGGGTGTTGTCTTGACTCTGGTGCCAGAGCTGTGAAGTATGAAGCTGGATCTGAACTTTTTTGAGTCTCTGGCATGAACTGAAGACTTTGGTTCAAGGCTGTCCTTGGTTTTAGATTTAATGAGCTGGGGAGGGCGAGTGGTGGACTCTGTTCTCCTTTAACAGTGAGCTGCACCACATCATCATTTGCTTTGTACCATGCACAATGTACATTATTGTTCCGCACAGGAGATACTCAGGACTGAGGAGGCCATGAATGTGTGGCTTTTGACAAAAGCTCTCACTAGAGGCTAATGGAGCATCTGAGTGTAGATGTGAAAGGAAAGCAGTGAGTAAAGAGAAGGAAAAGCCTTGGGAGGAGTTAATGGCAGTTTGTGAAAAATTCCGGAGCTTAAGGACCTAGCTATGGCCAGGGGTGGAGACAGGTCTATACACAAGAGAGGGGTCTGTCTCCAAAAAGACAGACTCCTTTCCTTGTGCTAAATCTTGCTAATCTGTCTATCCTGACCTTAAAATATTAGCGTCAGCACACATCACCTGCACCCCTCTGGCCATTGTCTGCTCCCATGGAGCAGAAATGCCATGCTGATTTTTCCCTGCAGACCTACAGACCCTCCATGCTTTAGTTCTCTGCATGAATCAAATTGGTTCCTTGGCTTGTCTGAGAAGCCAAACTGCCTCTTGTCTGCAGAGAGTCTTGGTCAGATTTTGCTCTGTGTGTTTCTCTGAACTGTGTTTTTCTTAGATGTTTTCAGGAGAAGCATCATGAGACTTTTTCTTCTCCAGCTGCCTTCCCTTTTGCTATTTTAATACTTTGCCACAGCCCAAAGATCACTAGATTGTTCTCCATCATCTCCATCTCTAGAAATTGTTTAATCTGCCACCTGGATTTTAATCTCCTTATAAACCATTTTTTCATGGTTTTGAGTATGTTTCTCAGGAGGGTCGACCTCACCTTCCTGTTGGTGTCATCACCTTCTGGAAGTCTTCAGTGAACTTCGTTTTTCATCCCCTTCTCTTCACAATGCTTCTTTGGGGCTACCAGAAGGTACTTGACCATTCATATATTGCTTACCTACAGTTCTATTGCTCTCCTCCAGACTTTTTTCCTGAGGAAGTTTAATTTTCAGGCAGCCTTTCTGAAGGCTTGGGGATAGTTTACCAATAATGCAGCCAACAACAACTACTTTCATTGAAGCATAAAAGACGATTACTGGCTTGGAGTGCCTGAAGTGGTCTATGAAATTTCTATAGACCATGTTTCAGCTGCTGTGGAGCTCCCAGAGAAAGAAAACTTGCTGCCAGCAAGCAGCAGAGGTAGGTCTCAGGTCTGTTTGCACCACTCCCTGTGACTATACTGTCTGTCTCAGTCTTTCCACCATAATCACAGTGAGTTCCTCACAAATTCAGATTTCTTGGAGTCTCGAATGAGTTTTCTGAGAACTTAGAAGTAAATATTTTTAACTACAAAGCAGAAGGAGTTGAAGAAATTCCTTTAAAAAAAAATCCTTAACTTTCTGTGGTGGAAAGCCTTGTTCAAAAAACCCAGTAATGTAATAATGCAGATGCTTTGAACTTCGTGTGTAGCTGCATGTGAACTGCATAAACGTGGTGAAAAGGCAAGGGAATGGTGAACATTTGATGTTATAAATACTTTCTGTAGTTATATAAGCTGAGGCCAGCTCATATATCTGGCAGAGGTCAGTGGATGCTGAGGGAGGGCTAGCCCTCCCATCCGAGGTACCTTAGGCAATGGCATCTTCCTGTCTGACTAACTGTCATGCATTTGTTCCATTCATGGCTCTGACTCAGTGTTTGGGGAAGACTGGCCCTGCAATGCAGGTTCAGCTTTGTGGTTCACTGTTTAAAGGTCCTGTGGTTTCTTGGGAATGTCCTCTGGGATAGCCCTGACCTAGGAGCAGGTTGGCTTCTTTGGGACTGGCTTGGGCAGGAGTCCTTCAGCATTGCCACAGATCCTGGCCAGCAGCAGAGAATGTCCTGGGAGCAGGAGCTTCCAGGGCTGTGGGAGTAGAGGAGGAGCACAGTCTACACCAGCACAAATCTGATGGGCTGGGCATCTCTTCTTGGTTTATCAGAGCGGCCCTGGGGACATTACCAGCTCTGCAGCTGGAGAGACAAGGTGTTGAGGAATCTTTCCAGCTGCCTGGATGTGGTTGGGTCAGCAAGTCCAAAGAAGTCTCTGGTTCACCTGCCTTGCAGTACTGGACCCCCCTGATACCAGAGGGATATGGAAGTTTTTAGCTTTGTTGTGTGAATGCTGACCTTGTGAACCTCCTTAAGCTGATTCTCAGGCACTGAAAGCCCAGTTTAGCTGATTCTCAGGCACTGAAAGCCAAGTTTAGCTGATTCCCAAGCACTGAAAGCCCAGTTTAGCTGATTCTCAGGCACTGAAAGCCCAGTTTAGCTGAGTCTCAAGCACTGAAAGCCCAGTTTAGCTCTTTTCTCAGGGTAGGAGGAGGCAGAGGTGAGAAGGGAATGCCTGATCTGCAGTGGAGAGAGAGAAGGGAGGGTGGTCCTGTTGGGATGTTATGAACACTTCCACATCTTGCCTTCACAGCCAGGATCCTGCAGAGGGGAAATAGAACTTCCTGGTCCAAAGCTGGGAGCACTCCCAGCTCATCAGGGAGCAGTGGGGACAGGGAATGAAGGGATAGGGATGTTCTGGAAGGCAGAGTTCTCAGGCTGTTTCTAATTCTGCCATTTAATTAGTTGTTAAAATGAGTACTAAAAATATGATCGTCCTTGTGGAGTGTGGGGGAGGAATGGAATAGGGGAAGCCAGCAGAGAGGAGGGGAGGGGACAGGGTACTGTGGCCTTGGCATCCCTCTCTTGTGACAGCTCTCTGCCCCCCTGTACTGGAATCCCATTTATTCCACCACATGGGAAGAGCATTGGGTTTCTGCAGGGAGGAGGGGTGGCTGCCTGGTCCCAGGATGCCCTGTGCCCCTGGTGCCCAGCCCTTTTCCCTGTGGTTACTGCTGCAGGATGCATGCAGGGCTTTCACATCTCATTTACTTGTTTATGAACACTATTTTCTTTCTGTGTGCACATTCCTCCTTCCAGACCTTTGGGCAGGCAGCCCCCTGCCTTGCTCAGGCTTGGGTTTGGCTGTAGAGATGCCTTTTCTTTCTGTTCTCTCTTCTCTCATGCCCTGTTTTGATTGAAATGAGAAGCAGCTTTTCTTTTATGTGCCCACTGGGTTTCCCATCAATGGGATGCCCTTTGCTATCTATAGCATTTACTAGGGTGGTAATTGAGAGGGTGATGGCTTCCAGAAACCTAAGAGTTGACAGGACAGAACACGAAGGTCCCAGAAGGATTTTTCAGCCTCTGTGCCTTCTTGTCCGTCTCCAGGCAACTAAAGGGTCAAGAGCTGACTGATGGGATGCAAAGTCCTTTGCTCTCTTGTCTCACAACTAGGAAGAAAGGGAATGCAGCTACTTTGTGTGACCCATCCTTTGCCTCGAGCCCTGGACAGAAGATCCACACTGTGGGAAGGAAGAGCAATAAACATGAATTTTGAGCTAAGAAACGGTGCCACTTGACAGGTCAGTGGTGCCTCTCAGCCCTTCCATGGGCCACACACGCAGGGTGCTCCGCAGAAGATGCCACCCTCATTTCTCCACCCCTTGTTGGAAGGGCTTGGAGAGAACTGCTCAGGGAGTCTCTGAAGGTCCCTTCCCAGCCCCCAGCTCGGTGTTCACCCAGCGTGGCTCCCCCAGGGGAGTCACAGACCTGCTGGTGCCTTGCCAGGGACACTGTGGTCTGAAGAAAACCCTCTCTTGGAAGGAATGCCCTGCACTCGAGGACATGAGTGCACGGAGCTGATCCAGGAGCAGATTTCAAGCAGCCTGTGTGGCTGGAGACAGGATCACACTGTGGCCACCTGCCAGCTCTAACTTTGCTGGCAGGGCAGTGATCATCAGCAGCAGAGATGCAGTAGCAGAGGCTCTGCCGTGAGGTAGCTGGCACAGTAAATCCTCCAGGGCCCTGCAAAGGAGGGAGCAAGCTGTGCTGGAGCCAACTATTCACCACACTGCCATCCAAGCTGTCTGGGTTAAAAGTAGTTGTGTAAAAACAGCCTCCTGAGGTATGGAGGGGTTGCCTGGAGTCAGCCTGGGCACATGCTGGGGTCTGCTTTTAGCACCCCGTCTTGTTGATGCTTCCCAGCCCTTGCTCCTCCACTGTAAGGCAGCATGAAAAAGTGGATGGAATGTGAAAATGAGAAGAGAAAAAGGGGGGAAATGGCCAGTGAAAAACCTCAAAACAAGGAGAAAAATGAGGAGATTCCAAAGCAATTTTAATCTGGACAAAATAAAGGAGGCGAATAAAAGGAGGCCAACGAAGCAATTTTTTTTTTTTTGTTCTTGAGCATCTTCTGTGGACAGTTTTCTAGCAGATGTGGTACAGAGCCATCAGCACAGGGTGTGCATCCCAGGTCAGGAGTTGGAGATGCTGACAGTGAGCAAAGGGAAGGCTCTGTTCCACCTGGCTTTTGTCACTATCCTTGATCCTTGTTCTTCCCATCACAGATGGGCTCAAAGGAAAGGAAAAACCACTTGCCCTGCAGCCACAGTTCAGCTTAGGGCAGGATGATCATGGCTCCTGTCCATGCTGCTGCTCTTGGTATGAGGTGGCAGCTCTGGGGCAGTTTCTGGGGGACTTACCTGTGCCCATGCTCCAACATCTTTGACAGCTGAACCTGCACTCAACTGGATTGGAGACAAACTGCCCCTCTTGTGTCCCCATCAGTCAGGGGCTGGGGTACCCCAGTGAAGAGGAGTAGGTTTGTGCTGGTTTGTGAGGATCCTGATGGGTTGATTTGCCCCTTGCTCACATGCAGACCCCTCTGAAGGGGAGGAAGAGATCTTCAGAAGATATGTCTTGGGAAATCCCACTCCAAAATACATTGAATTTGGGTCAGGTTTGTGGTAGAAGCTTAGTGGATTTGAACAATACCTCGTGACACTTTTAGTTTGCCCCACAGAGTCTGGTGTGGAGGTGGAAGCAATAGGTCATGGGTAATTTCTCAGCAGGGGCTGGGGGTAGTGCACCTCAATCTCCACGTGGATTTTGGCTGAATCTGGCTTCTAGTTGGTGCAGCTAAGTGTGTTGGGACATGGCTCATCACCTTATTGTCCTCACCTGCCAGGGCAGCTGGCCTGCCTTAGACAACTGTCTGGGCCAGGGAGGGACTTCTGTCCTCTGCTTCAAAAGATGATCCCTGTAAAGGCACAGCATGGCTCAATGTGGTGCTCTGGCTCTAAACCTCCTTTGGAGCTGTGTGATCCAAAGCAGACACTGAATTCCAACTGTGCAAAAAGATGCAGAGGGCAGCAGTAGCTGAAATGATGGAAGATATTGAGGGGGAATAGAGTGGGGGGGAATAGAGAAAAACCACCCACCCTGCTCCAACCCAAGAGGGCAAAGGAGCCTCTTCCTATCCTATGAGAGGCTGAATAGTTCCATCTTTGTGTGTCCATCTTTGGATCTCCATCTGGCCCCTCGTCTGGAAGCACAACGAGCGGAGTTTTACCTCTCCCAGGTGAGTAGTGACAGATGCCCACTGTCCCTTTCTTGCAATGGTGCTCTCTGTACTTGCAATTCCAGGTGGAGTTGTCCTCAACCCTGCTTACTACGGCATGCCTGGCCACACCAACACCATGATCCACGAGGTGGGGCACGTCCTGGGGCTCTACCACGTCTTCAAGGGAGTGAGCGAGAGGGAGTCTTGTGATGATCCCTGCAGGGAGACCACTCCATCCATGGAGACAGGAGACCTCTGTGCTGACACTGCCCCCACCCCAAAGAATAAACTCTGTCGGGATCCAGACCCCACCAATGACACCTGTGGCCAGACACATTTCACAGGAACACCCTTCAACAACTACATGAGTTACACAGGTAACGAGTAATCCTTGCTGGGAGTCACAGGGGGTCACCTTCCTTAAAACTTGGGTTTCCCTCCATCAGTAGTGCCTTTCCTCACTCCCTAACCAGCAGGGAACCCTCCTGGTGGATTGGGATGTCAGGCAGTGCTTGCAGTAGCTGCTTAAACACTTTCTTCCCTCTGGCTGTTTCTATCCATCCCTCTCTTCCTGCCAGTAGGGTGCTGGGCATGCACCAAGGCTGCTCTTGTCCGTGTGTGCCTTTGTTCTCCAGTCCTGAAGTAGTAGGAGTAGTAGTTGTTGTTGTTACTATTAATATTAATACCCTCCTGACCCCTTTTGGCATAGTTCCCAAGGCATGCCCAGGGGGCTGGCGTTTCCCCTGCCATGCCAGGAGTAGCAAAGCTGCAGGAGCAGTTCCATGCCCCAGGCTGACCCTCCTGCGGTGGCACTGCCCAGGTGCGGGGACCTGGAGCCGCTGTGGCAGTGCCATCTTGTGGCTTTGGGGACACACGACACCAGAGAGCCCCGGCAGCACAGCAGCCCTCCCTAGAAGTCCCCGAAAAAGTTTATCCAGGAGCAAAGGGCGCATGTTGGCATGGCCTAACTCTCGGCCCTCTCTTGTACCCAGATGATGAGTGCACCAACAGCTTCACCCCCAACCAGGTGGCCCGCATGCACTGCTACCTGGACCTGGTGTACCAGCGCTGGGGACACAGCAGGAAGCCAGCGCCCATCCCGATCCCCGCCATGGTCACCGGGCAGACTCAGCACTCCCTCAGCATCTACTGGCTGCCTCCCATCAGCGGCATCCTGCACGAGAGGTGAGGCACCGTGCTTCTGGGCTTGCACAGCAAGGGACACGGGGTCTCTGTGCTCCCCTTCCCACCCTGCAGAGCCCTGGGGCACCAGAGCCAGGCTGCTGCCACGGCCCCCTGGCACATGGGCTCTCCTGCAAGCTTCCCGCTCTCGGGGTGCCGGGAGGGGAAGCCAGAGAGCATCAGCAGGCAAAGCCAGCCCGAAAACCCCAGAGTGCAATCAGGGGATGAAAAATGAGCTTCATTTAGCACTTATTGTATAAAGTAGCTATTTACCAGGAGGAAATGCAGCCTTGTGGTTAAGGCAGGGAGCTCGAACCGCAAGAGCTGGGTCTCGTTCCCAGCGCTGTCATGGGCTCGCAGAGCAGCTAACTGGGGGTAAGTCAGGAAACTTTTCAAGCCAGAGAAATGATGCCAAGGAGCCAGAGCTGTTTGGCTGTTGAGGAGTGCACAGCCATGAGTGTTGGGTGGATGTCTGTCTATTCCCCACTAAGGGAGCCACCAGGACCTGGAAACACCACCAGTGTCTCTATTCAGCAGCCCCTCTTACTAATAGATTTCAGTTTCCACCAGATATTAGGTGGTGAGACTTTATTTTTAGGGGCTTTTTTTGCTTATGGGATCATAAGCACGTACATAAAGAGCTTTTGAACTTGTTTTGAAGCTGCTTCATAAAGCTGTCTTTTATAATTAAAAGGAAAATGCTGTTTGATGGCAGCTGGGGCACTCTTGGGTCAGTGTTTGCTGACTTTTCAAAGAATGGGTGCTCTCTACAATGGCCCTTTTGCTCAGGAGTAACAAGAGCACATGCATGTCACTCCACAGACAGGAGAGGCTCAGAGTGCTGGGCAGCCTGGAGTCATCCAAATAAACTGCTTTGTTGGGGAATGAAGTGATTTGGGAGCAGGAAAACATGGGTCTAGAAGGGAGACCCTTTGGAACCATCCCAAGTTGTCTCTCATAACTGTCTCAGGAGCTGATCCATTGTGGCAGTCCTGAATCCCCTGAGAAGAACTGGTCAAGAAAAGTGGATGAGGCTGGCCCTTATAATAGAAAAGTGCCTTTTTCTTTTCTGGAGAGCATGGCAATTGATATTATTGTGACTGGTTTGCATTGCAATAATGCTGAAAGCCAAAACTTGACTCTGGGTTTAGCAGAGAGCACCTTATTTGCACCCACTCTAGTCCAGAGGCATTGCCCTGGGATGTGTGGGGTCTGTTAGCTCTGACTGGCAGGGATGGGATCCATCCAAGACTACCCAGAGAGCATGGAGAAGAGGAGAGATTAAATCCAGCCTGTCCCATGAGCGCTCATATTTCCCTGTCTTTGAAGAAGCTGATTGCAAGCAGGATGGATTTACCCAGGGAGATTGAGACCTTAGCTCTTCTTCTCCACCTCCCTGTGTGGTGGCACCTGGGCACATGTGTCTGGGGAGTTGTCTGTTCCTCCTCAGCCATGTCAGGGTGTGTGCTGTGCCAGCAGGGAGCAGGACAGGCTGTGTGACAGCTGTGCTGAGGATGGCACCTTCCGGCAGTACGTGCACGAGGCCTCTTCCCCCAGAGTCTGCGACTCTTCTGGCTACTGGACCCCAGAAGAAGCAGAAGGTAAATGTCTCCTTGTCTCCTCTTTCTTCCTGTCTGGGAGTCCCCAGGCAGAATCTTTCTGGTACAAGAAAAAGAATTTTAAAATTTTTTTTCTTTTAGAGAATCAGTTGTCTTCTGTAGTGCAGGAAGGATTTCTTGGTACCCGGGAAAAATCTGGTAATGGTCAGATGGCTTTGGACAAATTGAATGGCACCCCAGTATTACCCCAAATCATTGTTGAGGTGTTGTTGAAAGATACTGACTGAAGGGAAAAGCACTTAACTGAAATCAGTCTTAAAATACAGATCTTGGGACCTCATTCAAAACCTCAGGGACAGTCACAGACTTTAATGTAGTCTTGTTCAAAGAGAGCAAGAGGAGCTCTGTGCTGAGTCCCACTGAGTCTGTGCCAAGCCCTGGGCGGTCCATTCCTCCCTAGCCGGGCCAACTCCTGCATTACAGGAGCTGGGCATTACAGCTTCCCTTGTGCTGAGACCCAGATGTTGGTTTAGAGACCCACCTTGTGGGCACAGTGGTGACTTTCAGGGTGACACAGTTGCCATAGGAGCTGTTGGGCTTTTCTTGCTGCCTCAGCTCCTCCAAGAGCAGAGTAGAAGAGGCAGGAGAGCAGGGGAGCTGATCCTGGGAGCTGAGTGAGGTGCATGTGCTGAACCATGCGGAGCCAGGAGACGTGGTTCTGTGTGTCTGTAGTTATCACAAGTGCTTGTTTGCTCTGATGAAAAGAGAGTTTGTGTGTTTCAGAAACTTTTAGACTTGTCTTATATGGGTGAAGGCTTTGAATTGGTGCTGGGCCCTAAGAAATGCTTTCAGTGGCTAATGAAGACAAGGGTGTTTCTACTACAGAATGATTAATTCCAGTGATCCTTTTTGGGTCTGAAAGGCCAGCACTCCATTTCTCTTGCTGAGTGCTTATCCACCATCAGGGGGGGCAGGCTGGGGCTCTGAGGTTAGCCTGGGTACTATCCTGGAGGATCTTCTGGAAAAACAGCCTGGAAAAGCAGCAGGTCCTACTTCCCTGCTTTGGACCTGGCCCCTTCCTAAATATGACCTGTCCTAGCCTGTGCTTGTGCAAAGCTTCAGTCTCTGCTCTGCTTGGAGCATTCAGGTGCCCTTGGCAAAGTTTCTGCACCGGTGAGGCTACAGAGCAAGCTTCACCTTCCTCAGCTGTGTCTAGGCTGTCCTTAGGTCTCTGCACTGTGTCCAGCTGCAGTGTGGATACCACTGTTCCCATTTGAGAGGGCTGTGAGTCACCAGGTCTGCTGGACCTTGTGTATATGTGCAAGTTACTCAGGAGCTGGGAGACCAGTGGGGATTATTGCTTTCCAGGATGTTAGGGAAGGTGTCACCAGGTCTAGGACATGTGGGTGTGTGGTTATAGCCTGGAGGTGCTAAAGCAGGCTATAGGGTGTGGGTCTGCTGTGAAACCAGGTTTTCACCATCTCCCTCCCTGTCCTAGGTCCTCCGGACGTGGATCAGCCCTGTGAGCCCAGCCTGCAGGCTTGGAGCCCGGAGCTGCACCTGTATGACATGAACATGACGGTGCCCTGTCCCCAGCCGCACGGCTGCATCCTGGAGCTGCGCTTCCTGCACCCCGTCTACCCCGACTCCCTCACCCTCTGGACCACATACCTCTCCACAGGCTCTCCCAAGGCCCTGTCTGATGTTGAAATCCTGACAGAGCAAGGGGAGTCCATCCACCTGGGCCCCCTGGACACCTTCTGCGATATCCCCTTTACCGTGAAGCTCAATATCCCTAAAAAGATGATTGGAGTTAAAATCTACACCTTTGACGAGAGGATGGAGATAGACACAGCCCTGCTGACCTCCAGGCCCCAGAGCTCCCTGTGCTCTGCCTGCAGACTGATCCAGTACCGGGTGCTCCGTGACCCCCCCTTTGCAGACGGGTCCCCTGCCACCCCCCTGCAGGGACATCGCCACTTCATGGACACGTGAGTCACAGGCTGCTCTGTCTCGGGCTGAGTCAGGTTTGATTACCTCCTTGTGTCTTCTCCCTTGGAATCCCTGGGTGGTTTTTCTTCTGTTTTGGTTTTCCTGCTGTCCCCCTGCTCTGGGAATTACTGCATCCATTGAGCAGGGGTGTGGCAGACCCACCATGCTAGCACAACTCTTCTCCATGAGCCCAGTTAAGTAGAAGGAGCTCATTAAACCCAGAAACATTTTCCCCATCAATACAACCCATAAAATTGCATTTCCCCCATCAATACAATGAGTAAAATAATTACTCGAGCTAATTCCACTTCTCCCCAGGTCAGAGCCTTGGGAAACAAGCAGCATGACCTAAAAGAGACTCTTTTCACAGGCTCTGCCTCTGGCAGAGTATGAAGACATGTCAGATTTTGGTACTGAATGAATGTATACATGTGATGTCTATAGTTGTGATGAGCAAATCTCAGTGCTGCAGATGTTGCTGCTCCCTCAAGTTCTCTCTGTCCCTGCAGGGAAGTCACTCCTGGGCAGGTGTACCACTACCAGGTGCAGGTGGTCTCTGGGACAACCTCAGGAGAAGCGTCCCCACCGCTCGTCCATGTGCATGGAGCACCCTACTGCGGAGATGGGAAGGTGGCCACGTAAGTTGGAAAGCTCCTCAAGCTCTCAGCTGAGGTTCTTTAAGCTGTCAGATCATCCTGCCCCAAAGGAAAGCAGCAGGTAGGTCCTCCATGCTCAGATACATGGCTGAAACTGCTGCACAAAATCCCTCCAGCAGACTGAGCTGTGGAGCTTGTGTTTTGTAAAATGCTATGTGCATAGGAGATGGAGATGGTCTGCATGAGGGGTCCAACCTGAACATCATCTGTTCTTGACTTCAGAGCTTGGAGAGAACTGTTGCAGAGTCCAGCCCAAAGGATCTGCCTTTGGAAGTGGGCAGGATAACTTTTTGCTCAGGACCCTGCAGGAGCAGCTTCTGCAATGAGCACAGTCCCACATGGTGTGGTGTCTTTAAAGAGCTGTCCAGTCTCTGCTCAGAAACCCCAAATAATGAGGGAAGCCCAATGCTGAGAGAGCCCAATGCTTCACCTGCTCTGCCTGGGAGACAATTATTTCAGATTTCCTTATTTGAGCTTTTTCAGACTTCAGCTTCCAGGATACTCAGGATCACTTTCATTTGAAATCAGTTTTCTTAGCAGGGTAAGGAAAGGGAAAGGCAGAAGAACCTTTTGTCTCTCCCTTCTCCTGCCTCCTTCTCCAGCTCCCACTGAAACCCCAGCCCCATTTCAGAATCTCCTTTCTCCAACACTTGCTTTCTCCAGCAACAGGTCTTCCTGATGCGTAGCTCTATACTTTTTCCATTCTCCCAGAGTTCTTGCCTCAGTTTTACAGCAAAGTCACAGTACAATCATGTCTGCTCCCAAATGCTGTGACTTCAGCCTCTTTTTATCCCCTGGCAAGGTGTTTTCTCTTCTCTATCTAATTCCATGTATGATTCTTCCTTTTGAACTGCTTCTGTAGAAACAGAACCAAGATAAGGGGTCCTCACTGATGACTGGGCAGGAGCACAGGGGTGTTGAGTCAAAGGTGGTAATAATACATCTGGCTGTTGCCCTCTTAGGAGCCTGGAGGAGGAATGTGATGATGGGGACTTGCTGGATGGAGATGGCTGTTCCAGGAAATGTAAAAAGGAAAAAGGCTTCAACTGTGTTGGTGAGTCCAACTGGATTGAGACAGGCCCAAATGGATTGGCTCCTTTTGAGGCAGGAGCCAAAACTGTACATTATGCACACTGCTCCTTAGAGCAGAGGGCCATGCGCCTCATCACAGCAGAACCTGGATTTGCAGCTGGAGTGATCCGTGGGTCTTGTGGTGGGAAAAACCCCAGGCTAATGAGACAGCAAATCTCTTATAATGAGAGAAGTGTGTGGCTGGGGCCTGGTTTGTAAGCAGCTCACCCCTGTTCTCCCTGCAGGGGAGCCAAGCCTGTGCTACGTTCACGATGGGGATGGTGTGTGTGAGCCCTTTGAGAGGACAAGCAGCATGCTGGACTGTGGTCCCCACACTCCTGAGGGGTTTGTGGATCTGTGGGCAGTGAGAGCCTACTCCTCCCATCAGGATGCAAAGTCCTGCCCTGCTTCCCTGGTCACTGGAGAGCCTGTGGTGAGGGTGAGTGAATTCATGGACAAAAAAAATGACAAAGTCTGTGCTGGGGAATACACAAACAAAATCAGCTCTGGAAGCACTCATTGATTATTATCTTCCCAACCAGGGACTGAGTGGAAGACTTGGGCATTGCTCACCTTCCTCTTACATTAGTCCCTGAGTTCAGGAGCTGCAGTTCATGGAGAGGTGCTTCATCCTGCAGGGAGCACCTCCCCAGCCATCATTTCACTGAGCAGTGACCACCCCATCCCACCGGCCAAACGCTCAGCTTGGAGCATGTGACTTGTCCCACTGTTGGCTCAAAAAAAATCCTGTCAGGCTGATACCTTATAAGGTCAGGGCCTGAAAGGATGAAATCACACACACATCAGCATCTGTACTGCTCCCAAGCCCTCTGATCTGAAGCCAAGGAAAAATCAATGGGAGAATTCCCATCTTTCATATGGGCTTTGGAGCAGAGCCTGGAGGGGATTTTGCCTGATTGGTGTTAACGTGGTGTGTATGTTCTTTCCTAGCAAGCTGAAGAAAGGCAAGAAATATGTAAAGAGATCACATTTAGCCCTTTACACATGTGTTTCTACTGATTTGATGAGAGGAATGATATTCTTGAGACCTTCAGCAGGATTAAACTGCCCAGATACATGTCTGATGGGGTGCCTTGGGCTCAGGTGTCTGTTCCTTCCCAATGACACCTGTATCTCCCAGGTTTTGTCTGCCAGGCCTGTGGGGATGTCTGGGATGCCACAGGGCATTGAATGGAACAGAAGAGTGTTATTCAGGCTAGTGAATCACACCTTTGTTTCTTGTGAGCCCAGCCAAAATTAGGATGCCATGTTCTCACCTGCCAGCTCACAGCTTGGCTCATGGTTTGTTACTCAGCCCCACAGACACCATGAGATGCTTAAACAACACATTTACAGCACTCCAAAGTGGCAAAGGTCTCCTGTGCACATGTGTGGGCAGTGAGATGTCACTTAGGAAGCCACATCCTCACTGTCTTCATGCTAAGAGCCACCTTGGGGTCCTTCCCAACACTTGGTCAATCTTCCTTGAAGTTTTGTAGGTGCTATTTTTCTCTACTTTCCTTGCAACCATCTGGGTTGAAATAAATCTCTCCTTTCAGGTATGTAAATCCCACCTTCATGAGGTGCCAAGGGACCTGTTGGAGGCTGCTTGGTTTCCCTGTGCCCCCAGCCAAGAGAATGCTCAGGACCCAAATGAGAAGATGCTTTTGGGTGACGAGGGAGTTTGGCTCCAGGTAAGTGAGGGTGTGTGGTCAGGCACAAAGGATCTGTTTGTCTTTACCCAGCTCTGGTGACAAAACCCATCCTTTTCTGTCCTGTAGGAGCTACAGCAACCTCTTAAACTACTCATGTAGTACTACATATACTACTGCACTCTTTGTAAATCCCAAAATACCTGTGTCTGGATCTGTCCTAGTTGCCCCATTCCCACTGTGAGCAGCAAACCCATCCTGGGGCAGATTGCCAGGAGAAGGACTGTGCATAAAACCAAAATACCACAGAAATGCCTGGAGGCTGAGAAACAACTTGCTCCTGACTCTCCTCTGCAGTCAGGCTGTGCTTTAACACCCACAAAGGGCAGGCACAGGCTGTGTTTGAAGTCCTGGTTGCCTTTGTTCCAGTAGCAGAGGGCAGCTGGATGTCCTCTGCCATCCTGAGGGGTCCTGAGCACCCCAAGCCCACAGCAACCAGGTCCTTGTGATGGCTGCAGAGCAGAGGTGGCATTTCTGTGCCCCAGGATGTTGGGCGTGCAGCCCAGCAGGGGCTCAGGGGCTGCCCCTGGGAGGGTCCAACCCCTCCGTCCCAGCAGGTAGAGAGAGGAGAGGGACGGAGCAGGGCTGAGGGTTGGGCCACTGGGATTTTTACAGCATTGGGTTTCTGACCACAGGCACAGTTTAGAGGTTTTGTGGCTGCTGCCTGGTGTTGCTGGAAAGCCAGGCTCTGGCATGCTGCTCCCTGTGCACTCTGAGGGGCAGCTCGCCCTGTTTTGGTCGAGTTCTCTAGAGAAGGCCTCTTCCCCCAGATGCTCAGACAACTCTGAATCATCAAACCTCAGTCAACAAACGTGGGTACTGCTCTGAGGTCCTCTGTCTCTCCAAAACAACTTCCTTAACCTTCTAATTTTCCCTCTCTTCCTTGTCTGTGTGCAGTTTGTGGCTTCAGTCTCTGGCCCTGACAAACGTGCCTCCTTTCCTCCTGTGCTGAGGGGAAAGCAGTAATCCTCCCCCTTGGCCTTACCTAGATGAAAGCTTGCTCTCCACTTCTCAGCAGGGGTTAAAACATGTTACACTTTTATTGGAGCTTGTGGTCAGTCCTTTTCCTCTATGGATGTTTATACTAAAGACTTTCATTACTGGTTCTCTGTGCTCTCTCTAGGAGTGCTATTATTTTCCACCCATAAAATTATTTATGGGCTAGTAATAAATATACCCCTTTTTCCTTTTTTTTTTTTTTTTTTTTAAGAGTTGGCCTGATTGGTAACATATTGGGTTAGGAAAGATGGCTTTTTGTTAACGATTTGCCTAGCACAGCTGCCTGCCCAGACAGGAGTGGTGCTGTTGGTGCATGTGTGTACCCATGTGCACAGGGTGCTTGGTGTCCACCAGCTCTCAGGGCCATTTCAAAGCTGTTGCGCCTGTGTCTCCTGGGGTAGAGCTGCACCACAAAACTCATCAGATGGCAGGAATCACTCCTGAAGAGGTGGCAGCAATGAACAAGAAGAAGGGCTGGGTCAAAAAATGGTTAGGGTTGGAAAGGAGATTAAATGCCCTCTTCTTCAAGCCCCACTGCCATGAGCAGAGACACCTTCCACTAGACCAGGTGGCTGAGATCCCCATCAGATCTTGAGTGTTTCCAGGGATGCACAAATGCTCTGGAAAGCCAGTGCCAGTGTTTTACTGTGCTCACTGTCATGCCGTAATTAGAGCAAGAGATATGTGTGTCTGTGCCACTGCACACAGCATCTGCCATACCCCTTGGGTCTGTCTGCACATGAGAATTGTTACAATTTGCCCATCTCCAGCCATGCTTTGTTCTCAGTTTTTAATACACCTGATGAGGAAAGACATCAAAACCACTTGTAAGCCAGTCAGGATGTGTAATGCAGGAAATTAAATAAGAAGCAGGGAGAGGGAGGGAGAAAAATTAAGAATTATATGTGCTGTGGCCAAGCACATAATATGTATTGGAAAGGATTGGGATGTTAATCAAGGCAGCTGCTATTGGCCTAGCTTGGGGCCAGCACCTTTCACCCTCATGCAGATGTAGGAAGGGAAAGACAGAACTCTTCACCTCAGGATGTGTAGTCCAGGGAAAGCCTCACCTGACTTTTCCAACTGCCTCTCCTCCCCTGAGGAACCACACTTGGAGGTTGGGTTCAAATCCTTCGGGTCCCTGGGACTTCACAGCTCTGTCCTGGACGGCTCCTTGTCTGTAAGCACTGCTGGCTCTTCTCTCTTTCTTTTCCTCCCTTCTTGCTTTCCTGTTTCTTTCCCTTCTTCCTCCACTTATCTCACAGGGGTAGACAGTGGGGATATACCAAATAAAAACATTGGAGCCCTCTGGTCCACTCCTTGCAGCCCTGTAAGCCAGCAAGCGCTAGCTAAGGGAGCAAGGAGACACCAGTGGGGCCTTGCTCATGGGGCTCTTGCTGGTGAGCACCTCCCTGCAGGGTGGGAGCCCCGGCCTGAAGCCCAAGGTTTTCTCCTGTTCCCGTGTGTGAACAATGCCTGACGTGGCATGAACCACCCTGAGGCGAGGCTGCCATCACAGATTGCGTCGTTGTCCCCTCCATTCCCACAGTCTGCTCCTTGGGCTGTGCCTGGCCAGCCAGGACTTGTCTTCTTTCCAAATACACCTTTGCCTCGAATTTCTGAGCTTCCTCCATGCCAGCATTCCACAAAAACTCTGTATCAGGAGGATCTCGATCAAAACACATCTCAGCACTAGTGGGGTGGGGGAGGAAAACATTTCTGTCCTCTTCCAAGGAACATCTGCTCTGCCATGATTGATGCCATGTGTTTCCCAGCTACTTCCAGCTGCCTTCAGGGCTGTAGACAAGTAGCAAGCTGCTGGCTCTCCTTCCTAGCAGGCAGGGCTTCTTCCCATGAATCTTTCCACTGGCTGTGTTGGCTGGTGGACAGTTTGCTCTTGCAGTGGCTACTGGGGGCATTCTTTGGGCTTGTTTTGGTTTTTGTCTTTTTTGAGGGCTTTTTTTATTGAAAATATTTTGGTGGCGAGGCTGGTGTCTGTTTTCCCCAGGTGACTCACTTGCCTGGCCAGCTCTGTGTGGGGTGGGAGTCCGAGCTTGGTGAAGGGGGAGCAGGAAGGAGGTTGTCTAGGTCTTGCTCAGTGTGGATGCTGTGAAGATGCTATAAATTTAGGTCAAGGTGGGGCTGAATATGTGAAGAGAAGGCTGGTAAAAGGAAGAAGGGAAATTCAGAGGGAAAGGACTGTTTTGGCTCCCTTCCTTCCTCCTCCCCATCTCTGCAGCCCTGCAAGGTCTCTGACCCCTTATCCCTGTTCCCTCTTCCTCTCTCTTGTCTGTATGGGCTCTGAGAAGCTGTATTTGGTGTGCCTGCTCTCAGAGTGTGTCCTGCCCTCTTTCCTAGGTGTGCTTTGAGAGACCTGCAGTGCCCACCTCTGTGCTGCTCTTCCTGGCCTCCCCTGGCTCTGTCCCAGGCCAGCAGCCCAAGCCGGTGGTGGCCGTGCAGCTGACTGACACAGACGGACAGAACAGCTCGTTGGGTGAGAACCTCTGGGTGTGACATCAAGGGGACACCAGAGCCACCACCCACACAGCTGGGATCTCCCACTGCTGTCCCCTGCCCTCCAAGCTGGTCTGTAGGTGTGTGGGGAGAGCAGATGTAAACCCTGGAGCTGGCCTGGTCACGTCTTCCTTCTCCTTGTCTCGCAGGGACGTACGAGCTGTCGTGTCAGCACAACCCCCTCATCATCAACGTGACCCACAGCCAGGAGGACCCACTCCCCCAGGTTGCTTCCGTGCTTCTCAACTTCTCCTCTCCCTTTGTGGGCATTGCAGCTGTGGCCTTGAGGACCCTGGCTCAGCCTGGCTCCTCTGAGCCCCTCAGCACCTGCCTCCTGCAGCACCAGGAGGGATGTGGCCATCAGTGCTACAGGTAGGGATGGTCTCCTCAGGGCACCCAGGGTTGCTGCTCTCCTCTGGGAATTTGTGTTTGAGTTCTGGAGTGTTTATCTTCTCATTGAGTGCTTTGTGACTGTCCTCAGATGGATTTTGAGGTATTGTTGGAAGATCCGCTGTGTTGTCTTGATTTGCTTATCTTGCTGGAGGGAACGGGAAGGCAGAAACCAGATTTTGTGCATGGCCTCTGCATCTGTAGAAAACTGTGCCAAAGGACTGATTCCTGGTGGGAAAACCAAGAGGAGTTTTAAAATGGCTGTGAAGTTGTCACTGGGAGTTTTTGCTAAAGCTGAAGCTTCTTCAGCACTTATTTTACAAACTCCACTTCCATCCATTCCAGTCTTCCCCATGCTGCTGAAGGTGGGGATGGAGCTCTCCTCATCCTCTCTGTTCTCGCTCCCAGTCCATCCAGGCCCCTCACAGAGTCTCACACTGCCCTGCTGAACGTGGTGATAATGCCAACAGAGGCCTCAGCACTTCAAATCTGCCAGGTCTGGCTTTGCTTTCAGATCCCAGGCTCCCTGAAGCTACACAAAGTGCTGATCCAGGGCTCCAGTTCAGCCAGTTACTCAAACCACACCACTGGGAATACTGATTTTTGAGTTGAGCTTTGCTGGAGCTTTGGGTTTCTTCAGCGCAGAAGGGCTTTGTCTAGGGTCATCTCATCACTGTTCTTGTCATGTTCTTTCTGTTGATGGCCTGGATCATCAGGGTGAACATCCCTGATAACAAATGAGAGTGTGTGTTTGTCTTAAAGCCTGTGGGATTGTGGTACAGTTGATTTATGTAGAATTCTGGAAGCCATGAATATCCTGAAGTTGCTTTTTACTTTTTTTTTTTTTTTTAAAGTGCATGTGTGATTTATACAGAAACATAAATCTTAGTGAGTCAGTATATAAATATTATTCTCAACCTTACATTAAAAGATCAGTGTTCACCTGAAATGCAGCGTGTTTCCTCCTGGTAGCTGTTACAGCAATGTACCCACATGCTTCTAAGACTGTGGCCAACTGATGTGGTTTTTCAATTACATTTTCTCATCCCTTAAAATAATCTTGCATTCTTGTTGCTTGAGAGCTTCCCCCTTCCCCTGAGAAGTGACTGCAAGGAAGAAAAGACTCACTGGACGCAGCTGAGCATTGACTGGGGATGAGGAGATCCCCAAATAGGGGCAAATAGAGAGGAAAATAGATGTTTTCCTCATAGAAGTCGCATTATAGCTGAAGCACAAGCCAGTTCCTGTATTGCCAAGGCACACCAAGCTGTGTCTCTCCCTTTTCCAGGGCCACAGCAGGATCCTTGTGTCTCCTGTGTCTCTTCTTCTCTTGTTGCCTTCCCCTAGGCTCCCCATGGCCTTGACTTCACAGCAGTATGCTGGAATTGCAGGTTATGTGTGCGCCCTTAGCAAATACTCAAAGTAAATCAGATTCCCAAAGTTTTCAGAGTAGAAAATTCTATTTAGAGTATTGATCTTCAGAATTGAAGTCTTGAATATTCAGGGTGGGGAGGTTAGGCTTACAGCCTCGAGTAGCCACACTAAAAATAAAGGATCTTCCTTTGTTAAGTCAGGAAACATTCAAGTATGCCCCCTTTATTATATTTTAAAAATCTATTCTATCTCCAAAAGTAATGCAGTATTTTTAAAGGTTAACAATTAATTTTATATAAGGTGGTTATATGAAATTAATTGTTAACCTTTAAAAATACTGCAATGCATTACTTTTGGAGATAGTATGTAAAAATACTGCAATAACCTGTGGATTCTGGTGGTGAGCAGGGGACGAAATCCCCTATAAAAATTGAGGAATAGAAAATCTTGAGAGGCTGGGAGACATTTGACTGTGAAAGAGCCCAGGACATGCATGTTCCTGCAGCAGAGAGCTGGACTGACCGTGTGCACGCAGCAGCCTCATGTACACAGTACGTGCGGGCGAGGGCTTTCCCAAAATAACCTGAGAAAGGACAGTAACAAAAGCAACAAAGAAATGAGATTTCCTGCCTTCAGCCTAGAAATGCTCACTGCCAAAATAATAAATATGTGACAGGTTGGTATTTCTGTAGCATCTTTCATCTTGAAGGATCTTGCCGTGCTTTGCAGGCTGGGGAAAGCATAGAGATGGTTTCTGCTGATGAAGTGCAGCTTTCTCCAGGTCAGGGTGCAACAGGTGTTTGCCTCTAGAAAAGTACACACTTGTTTTGAAGGAAGTGTCACCTTTTGAGGTGCTGAAGGTTGGCAGAGCATTGCAGAGCAAAGCAGTGCCGTGTCCCCACTGCCATCCCCAGGAACCCTCTCTGCTGTCTCTGCCAGCGGATCAGGGCTTGTCTGTGCATTCTACTCCCAATCACAACCTTATGAGGTCAAGCAGAAATCAGACTTTTAACACATTTCCACCCAGGAGACCCAAAGCTTCAGGCTTTCATCCTTTTCTTTGCATTTTTAAACTGAGCCACAGTCCCTCCTGTTTAGCTTGGTGCAGGCTATACACTGAACCAGGGGAACATTTTTCATTTCCTCTGTTATGTGTATTTTTAGCTTGCTTTTATTTTCAGTGTGTTTGATTTTATGTTCACATATGCTGGGAAATGCCTGGGTGGGTTCACAGGAAAGGTGCTACAATAGGTGATCTGCTTTGTGTTTGTATCTCCTATGTGCAAACTCTCCTCTGCTTCCCCAAAAGTGCAAAAGTGGGTGTAAGGCATCAAGGGGAGTTGGGTTTGGATTCCTTTAGTATGAAAAATTGAGGTGAGGGAGGGGAAATCAGATCCAGGAGGGAGTTGTTTATATGTTTTCAATTTACAAACTTTATTCAGCAGAGAGGGCTGTTTCCCAAACAGGTTTTGTTTGGTTTGTTTTCTTTCTTCCAGGCACCAAATTTATGCAGGTTTAATTTATGGGCTGCATGTCTGATGGCATGAAGATTTATGGGCACCCTGGTAGACATGCTGGTGTCTTATTTCACAGAAATGTAGAATAGTTTGGGTTGGAAGGGACTGTAAAATCCTGATTCTTTGCCTCTGGCTTAGGGTGCCCCATGGATGGAGTCCCTGTCTCTGGAGGGATTTTAAAACACATGTAAACGTGGCACTTGGAGACATGGGGTAGTGGTGGCCTTGGCACTGCTGGATTAATGGCTGGCCTTAATTTTACAGGGCTTCTCCAGCCTAAATAATTCTGTGTTTCCAGGATCCTGATAACCACATTTCCTGGGGAATGGGCTCATCTCTGCCTTTGAGACTTCTAGAGGTGCTTCTCCTCCAGCATCAAAGCCTGTTGACCTCTCGCACGTCCCTTGACCGGCTGAGGGGCAGTGGTGGCCAAGACTGTGCTGTAGAATATGTTATTAATGTTAATTTAAACTAAAATTTAGATTAATGTCCAGCTGGAAGGTGTCACAGGTACCCCCTGGAGGGCCAGACACCATTTCATGGACTGCCCCATCCCATTAGCTCTCTGCAGTCTAATAAGATTCTTGAGATTAGTGCTCTATATATGGGCTTTTTGGGAATGCTCAAGATGTCTTCTGCCTTTCCCTGAGAGTAGCTAGGGAAAAAAATATCTCCCAGCACAGATTTTTCACCAGTTTGATCTTGAGTCCAACACAGTAACTGAACAGCTTTCAAACAGGGTGCTTGGTGTCACCTTACAGATACATTGAGGGAATGTGAGTTCCAACACAGACCAGTTGAGTTCCCATGTCCAGTGAGGAAGGGAGCGATCACTGGGAGACCCCAGGTTTGCCAGCAGAGCCCTTAGTTTTCTGCAGCAGAAATCCAGTCTCCCCATTCTGCCCTGCCCTTCCTGATGTCACACAGGGCACAGGGATTTTTCACAGGCACTGGATTAAATGCATCCTTCAGAGGGTTCTCTTATCTCCTTTCACAAGCTGCAGGAGGTGATGAGCACACCATCACCCCTGCTGAGCTATTCTCATATCCAGTAACCCTCTCTGCTGAGAAGGTGCCTCTGATTTCAAGATGAAAGTTGTTGCTTTTGCTCCATCCTTGTCAGAAAGGTCTGATTGCCTCCTGCCAGCAGACAGACAACTTTTCTGTGTCTATGTGTCTGCACAGAGATGTCAGATCCCCTCACTATCTCCTCTCTGTCATGATAAATATTTTTTCCACTTTAATTCTTACAGCTTAAGTCTTGAAGCCCAGCTATGGCTTCTGCTTCCAGCTCCTTTTTGAAATCCTTCTGCTATTTTTATGTCTTTCATGGTGACGGATGGCTCAGAAATTAATTCCTCTGGACAAGATGAGAAAATGAGGTGGAGTGTGGTCCTGTGGAGATGGGATATGGATAAAGATGTTCTTTGGGTACAGGCTGTCCTGGCTGAGATTGGGAAGGTGACTACACCAAACCTGACATCCCATTCAACCTCATTTTCCATGCAACTATTTTGGTGTAGTGAACAACAACAAAAAAACATGGAAAGGAACTGTCTGGAAATACATTATGTGCTCTTGCTTCTTTTTTTTCCCCTTTCCACTATGGCTCTGGAGGGGCCAGCAGGTCATTTGATGTCTTGCTGGTGCCTTCCCCCTGTCTCTGAAGCGGATGACAGCAGATGACTCACAGGGATGGTACTTTTTGCCAAGTTTCTTTTGGAGTCACGTAGAGAAGCAAACACCTTTTCTTGAGATGGCAACCTCAGTGCAGATTGTGATCAAGAAGCATCACCACCGTTGGGTCTGTACACGCAGCCTGCTGCCACAAGGATGCCTGCCATCAGATTTACTGGAAAAGTGAGACCTTTCACCCTGCCTGGAGGGAGACATTCCCAAGTATTTCCAAAACACCTTTTCTCATTTCCTAGCTATTCTCTCCTGCTAGACCGCATTGGGGTAAACACCTTTTTATCTCACTGATGTTGAGTGCAGACTCCACCAGAGTATGTGCAGGGATGACTTCTAACTTCAGGAGATGTGGCCAAAGCCTTTACTTTTCTGTCAACATCTCCTATAACCCCCCTCCCAAAAATTTGCACCATGAGAAGAACTTACAAGTTTCCGCTGTAAAGAGCTGGAGCTCGATGATAAGGGATGTTTCAGCAGCAATCTTGGGGTTGAAAACCTGAGTAGACACCACAGCAATGTATAGATGATTTATTATGCTCAGACAGCTGCACTGCTTTTGACTTGGCTTAGTTTGATGTGGGTAAATCCATCAGTATTTTCTGTGATGCATTAAGTAGTTGCAGTAAAACATGAAAATTCAGCTTTTTGGAATTTGGGATTTGTAACAACAAAGCAGCATTACCGTACTAGCTTTGCCACCACTGGCTTCACATGCTCTGTTGCTGGTAGTGGCTGCCTGCTTTTGTTCTAGAAGGATGAAGGATCCCAAAGGAAAAGTTTTACTCTAGTTTATAGAATTGTTCCCATTTCAGAACAAAGCTCTTACCGTTCTGGAGCATTTAGGGCCATCACCAGGCAGAATTTCACAGATTTCCAGACCTGAAACTTTCTTTGATGTATAAGTTATGGGACTTGGTGAGCCCAGAGCATCGTGCAGGCTTGTGCTGACATGAAATAAGTTAGGAGAAAAACCCTGGTATTTTGTAAAAATGTTGTTGACAAATCATTAGTTTGAGCTTCAAAAGATGCTGGGATGGAAGTGGAAATTTTTTTTGATGTCTCGGGCAGAAAAAAAGTAAAAAAATATTGGCTTGTCCCACATCTTATATGGTCTGAATCAGAAATGGGCAGAAGTCAGGAGTTTGCAGCTGTGATACAGGAATTTCATTTATCATCAAAAGCAGAAAGAGCTCCTTCATGCTGAGATCAGAACTGGGCTAACTGCACCATTGCCTTGTCCAGCCTTTGTTAGGGTGTTCCAGGGCCTGGGAGCTGTGATTTATTCCATCACTTTACCCCAGCCCTGGCATAGCATGTGGATCATGATGGGGCCAGGTCACAGGGCTTCTTTCTCCTTTGACCTGCACTTGTTCACCATCAGGCTCAGAAGTGTCCTGGCCCCAAGTACAGCAGGGATAGCAGTGACAGTGCTGACAAAGGGAGCAAGCAAGGCAATGTTTGTTGGTAGGGTTGGTATACATTTTTTAAAGATTATTGACATATTTGAGAAAATCAGACAGCTTTCAGTGATGTGAGCTCCTTTTCAGGTCTGGAATAGCAGCACCAGACTTCAAAGCAAGGTGTAGGATCAGCACAGCTTCTCAGAACTTGAGCTGATCGGGCTCAGATCATTTCCAAAATAAAATCTAGTGGGTATTTGTAGGGCTAGGTGTGTTGTTAAACACAGAGAAAACAGTGCTAAGTTAGTCATCTTTGGGGGCAAAGAGAAAGGTCATTATTCTAACCCAAACTTTTCTGTTATTTCTAGAATATATCTATATGCACATACAGAACATGTGCATGAGCATATATATATATGTGATGTACATAAAAATATTTTGTTGTTATGACCTGTAGTTATCAATCTCTTATGCATAACTACCCTATGTAATATTCTGTATTTATAATCCTTAAGAAACTTGCTGATACCTTGATCTACTTTGTACCACACTGCTGGTTGCATTTCTGAACTGGTGGAAAACCAAAACGTCCCCGGTAGCACTCAGAAGGATTAGCGCTTCATTTAATTTTTATTTAATAACAGCATTGTCCCAGCTGCCAGGGCTGCCCCAGACAATGTGCTGTCTTTCCATCAGCACCAGCAGGGCTACTCCAGCCAAGCACTTGGCCTGGATGCATCTGGAAGGTGCCAGGGCACACCCTGGCATATCCCCAGTGCTGTGATGGGCACATGCCCCAGAACTCAGCACCCTGACCATCAGCTGTGAAGGTGGGGAGGGCCTGGCACAGTGAATCTGTTGCTGCCCCGTTCCTTGAAGTGTTCCAGGCCAGTTAGGAGGGGCTTGGAGCAACCTGGTCTAGTGGAAAGGTGCATTTCCGTGCTGTGCCCATGGCTGACAAGGAAGGAGATGGAATGGAGAAGCAAGGCTGGAAAGAGGACATGTATTCCTTCCACACAAGGAAGTTCGGGACAGTGGTTCCATCACTGGGGATGGGAGCAAGTATGAGCCAGGGGCACAGGCAGGGAGCAGAGCAACTGCCCAGAGAAGGTGACTGCGGGAGGGGAGGGGAGAGGGCTACAATTGGTAACAGATGCCCTCAGAAGCTAATGACCTGACAAATGCTGCACTCATAAAACAAATTCTTTAAAAAGGAAGCAAATGGAAATATAAGCTAGTGAAAGAATTTGCAGCAGCTGCCCTGAAACCATTTCTCACTTCATAAACAGGTCTGCATTGAAAAAACAGCCCCTTTCTTCTTGTTCTCCTTTGTGGTCCCCTCCTGTGCCCACCGGCTCTTTCAGGGCTGTGGCCTGCAGGTTTCCACCATGCCTTTGGCTCGCTAGACTTGTCCAGAGTCAACAGCACATTGCGTTCCCTTAACGTCTGCGTCGGCACCGAGCTGGGCTTTTTTGGGGTTTGTTGTTTTTTTGTTTTTTGTATGCATGTCTTTTGTGGTATTTCTAGCTCTGTGCATCCTTGGCTGGAAATGTTGAGTAAAGGCTGGAGGCAGAGGCCTCTGCCTTGCTGGGAGAAAGGCAGTGCCTGAAAACAGCAGCAGCAGCCCTGTGCCAAGCAGGGAGCAGAGGAGAGAGAGGCATTCAGGTACAGCTGCCTCCCTTCTCTCCCCAGTTACTGCCTGGAGTGCAGCACCTCTGTCCCTGGCTGAGATCTGTGCTGCACCTTTCTCACTTGGTAACAGATAAGGCCAGACTGGTGGGTAACCAGGGCGTGGGAGCTGTTGTACTGCCCTACATCTTTTCCTAATTCCATCCCAGGTAATTAATCAATGGGCTGCATTTCACTGATGGAGATCACAACCCCTTGACCCACACTGGTTCTCATGATGGAATTGTGATGCTTAAATAGTCAGTACTTAATGACTGCTCCTCAGTAGGAAGCTGCTGAAGTGAGGAGGAGGAGTGGGTGATGCCTTGCAAATCAAGGAATGCGTGATGCATTTCAGACTTTCCTGGCACTTCTTGTAACTTGCATTGGTGCTGAGGGGAAGGTTATTCCTCCCTTGAGCTACGTCTCACCTTGGTGGCCACAGCTGAGACTGTAGAGCTGGACAGGTGTGTGCTGAGATGGTGTTGATCCCAAAGAGCCTGGCATCAGCCTGCACAGGTTTGGGGTGCTGTGCTGGCGTGTGAGAAGAGCAGAGGTGCTGAAAACCATCAGAGCAGAGGGGGAGGGTGACAGGAGTGGGGTTGGGGAGCCAGTTGTACATCCAGCTTCTCCCTTCCACCACAGGCTGTGGTGTAGCTGTATGGATGTGAAGGGGGACTGCGCAGGATCTGAAGAACATCTCATGGATTATCCCCTAATATTTGCAGAGGTTTCCTCTTAGCTTTCCTTGCAGTTGGAGAATCATCTGTGGATTCTCCAGTGTTCAGAGTGTACAGTGTACAGAGTTTGACACACCTGATTCTAAAGGTATACAAAGGTATTCCTTCTGCCTCCCCTCTCCTGGTCACCTCCCTCCTTTTGTTCTCTTGACCTACCTGCAGTGAGCCCCCCTTTGGTGCCGGGCTGTGTGCACACTCTGGAAATATAAGCTAGTGAAAGAATTTGCAGCAGCTGCCCTGAAACCTGTGTGCAGGGGGCACAAATTTTGGAATGTTGTTGAGCTGTGCCTCCTTTCATCAGCCTGAAAGAACATGGTGGTGGTTGGTGGGAAGGTGTGGGCTGGGGTTGGGATGAAGTCTCTGGTATCATTGTCAGGGGACTGCAAGCCTGGGAGAAGCTGTGAGGGATAGATGAGCATCTCTAGGCATCTGTGACCTGCTGAGCATTCACTCCACACAAGTGCCACCTGGAGAGAGCCCTGCCTTGCTGCAGTAGCCCTGGGACCCCTGGCTGATCCCTTGTCTGTTCTCCACAGCTGTGCCCACGGTGCCTGTGAGGGATCAGGAACCTGCACGCAGCCTCTGCTTGCTCACGCTGCCAGCCTCAACTGCAGCTCGGATGGCCCCGGGCACATGGTGTGTGCTGTCTCCTGTGAAAAGGGATTTGTCCTCCACTCCAGTGGTGGGAAGAGGCTGGGCTCCATGCAGGTGAGTGGGCCTCAGGATGGCCCATGGGACCAAGACTTATATAAAAAAGATTTAACCACCCTGAGGTGGTTGGAGAGAGCACAGAACACTTTGTTCCTCCAGCCCCAAACTTTTTGCTGCTTTCCCAACACATCCCAGCTCAATGAAACTCCAGTGCAGGACCCCTGTGCTCATGGCTGGTGTTTCTGCTCTGGAGATCCCTCTCTTTCCCTTGCTGCAGTGCTAGTTCTCCCAGTCCACTGTTGTCTGCAGAGCACAGCTCTGCCAGGCTGAAAGGTGCTGCAGGGCATGTCCCATGTCAAGCTGATGCACTCCAACAGAAGGAGAGGTGGATATTTCTGCTCTCCAGATGGGCATTGCTTGGAGGGTTAAACATCCCTGGGATGTTTTCTCTCTTAAAGCTGAAGTTAGTGGCTCAGGAAAAAATGAAGTCATTGCAGAGCAACTATATTTAGAGGCAGCTGAGAGCATGGAGAGCTTTTCTTCCTTTGTGTTGTGTTGCAATAATGGCACAGGGGTCACCGTGAAAGAGTTTGTCCCACTTTCCAGAGGGTTGGGGGTTACCTCATAAAAGCTAGGAGCCAGCACAGCTCTTAGCTATTGACTGAGGAGACCTGGGATGATGTGTCCTTGGGAGCTGCACTGCCTTTGTCCAGGCAGTCACCTTGGCAGGGGGGTAGGCACACAGTGTCCTGTCCTTGGGCTGTTTCAGGAGGGGGGAACAGGAGTCTCTGGGCCTGAGCTGGTGTTACATGCCTGCCTGAGCCAGAATGTGAACTTGCTTGAGGCAGACAGACAGAAGTGAGTTGGGCTGTGTCAGGAGGGTGACATTTCCTCTCCTTGGAGATCTGCTTGTGACACCTGGCAGGCAGGTTCCCCATGCTGCAGTGTTGGCCAGAGGAGAGGTGGGCACTGGGAAGTGCAGCAGGGCAGCTGGAGATGCACTGCTCCTCACTGGGAGTTGTTAATTACATGGCCACTGGGCCTGCCCAGGGAAAACAAAATGTTCCCATTCTCCATAGTGAAACCACACAAAATGAATCTGCCTGGGATGACAGCTTTCCTGTGTCTGGCAGTGAGATGGGAAACTTGTGAACAGAGTTCTACCAAGTGGCTGTCACAGCAGAGGGCAGCTTGCAAGGGCCTTGCCCTGAGCCCTCCAGTGGTATTACAGTGGTGTCTAGCTTGTGAGCCTATTTAGGAAAATGCACACAGCTCTTCTCCTGAGCTCCTCTCCAGCTAGTTCTGCTGCACACTTGGGAGTGTCAGACTGAAATTTAGTGATGTCCTTCAGAGCCACCACATCCAGGTCCAACCAAAACCTGCTGGTTGAGATGATAGGTCATGTGTTCACCTGCACCAGCAGTGTGACTGTACCAGCCATGAAGGGACATCAGGAACCTGGCTGAGGGCTGCTCGGCTGGGATTTGCAGTTTGGGAATAGAAATCATTGAACAGTTGGGGTTGGAAGGGGCCTTAACAAATCACTTAGTCCAACCCCCCTGTTGTGGCTAGGAGCACCTTCCACTAAACCAGGTTGCTCACAGCAAACCATCATCCACCCCTCAATTTTGATGAAGTCTGTAGCGCGTGTTGACCATATTTAGTGGTGGGATCATCGTGGTTTTTGATCTTGGGCAGTTCTGAGTAAGAAGGGCTGTATAATTAGGATTTGTAAATGAGGTTGTATGATTTCATTGAGGTCTGTAGGCTGAGGCATGAGGGAATTGGTACATTTAGGGAAAAACAATCAACAGAAGAGCTCTCTGACAACAGTTGAAGTAAGACTTGATCTTTTAGGGGAGGAAATTGCAGCACATCCAGCTGGAAATAGCTCAGCTCAAGAGGTTTCAGTGAATCTTGAGGGGACTTTCCTTTTATCCCTGATGAGGGCTGGTACCACCCAGACAATGTAGCATGCACAGTGCCTGGATTTTACCCCAAGGCACATTTCCTGCTCTCACAGCCCACACATCTCCCTGTGAACTGGTCAGGGCTTTGTGATTCACTGTCCAGAGTGGGGAGAAAGGGGGAGGAAAAATATTGGAGCGCTCTCCTCATCCTGAACCCTGGTTGGACCTTTCTGCTGTGGTGGCCCAGCCGTAGATCAGAGCTCTCCTCAGGAGTCTGATGGAGCTTTGCTTTTTCTGCAGCAGGAGGTGGTGCTGACGTGCAGCTGGGGACGGTGGGACAGATCTGTGACCTGTGACCCTGTTGACTGCCGTGTCCCTGCCCAGTCCCTCGTGTACTATGCTGAGTTCTCCTGCCCTCTGGGGACCACCTACCTGCAGAGATGCTCCTTCTCCTGCATCCCCCCAGCCAAGCTTCAAGGTATGCTCTGGAGTGTCAACACATTTAACCACCCTTTGTGATGCCACATTTCCATGCCTGTCCCAAGCAGTTCAAACAGAATTTGGAATTTCTCACTTGTCCTGGATTTGCCAGCTGGATGAGATCTTGAGATACTTCCCAAAATGATGGGTATCCCTCCCCCTGGAACAGAGACATCCTGGTGTGAGGATAATTCCCCCTGACTCCCATCCCCTGGCAGGCAGTCCTGATCCATCCACCTCAGGGTGTAGTGATGTCCTCTCCTGATAACTGGTCCAGCCTCCAGTATTACAGTGATGGAGACAAGAAACATGCAGGCAGACAGACAGGACTTCAGAGAGCCAGCAGTGGCTCTGTGCCTGGTGGCTGTGGGGAAGCCTGTGGTTCAGGGGGCTGGGGCTGTATGAAGCCGTAGAGACTGATGCCCACAGCTGTAGAGCAGTCTGGGAGATGTTCACCACCCAGACACACCATGGCCTGGCTTTCATTCTGACGACTCCATCAGTAGCCACAGGAATTTCTTGAGCCAAGTCAGAGAAAGAGAGCTACTGTTCTGTCTATGCAGGGGCTGAGCTGGATGGGATTTCAGGGGTAATTGCCTTGACAGCTTCAAGCATTGGGACTTTGTGAGTTTCCACCAGTGCCTTTGCTGTGAAAAAATCACATACAACAAATCATTTTAATGGGTGCCCTACTTTATGGAGACATTTATAGCTGAAATGTATGAGAATTGTTTACTTATTGTAAAAGAAAAACCTTAAATCTAAGGATCAAAAACTGCAGAGATCAGAGAATTAAGGTCCCATTTCATGACAGGGAGGATGATGGCAGATCCCCAGAGTGGGCTGATCAATGGGTAGCATGCAAATGTCAACAACACAAATTCTGCGTGAACTGATGCCCATTGCCTTGGGTTAGTCAACTGAGGCAGAGCTTTAATCTGATGTTGCACCCACAGCTGCCTCTTGGTCCTGCTGCAGTCCCTGGGAGTTTGCCATGGGCTGCCTCTGTGGGAAGGGGTCCTCTCCATGGGCCCCTGGGTGACTTCCAGCATGATGGCTGGAGGTGCTCAGCCAAGGCTGCCAAGCCATGGGGGGAAACTCTTGGAGTCCAGTGACACCACTGAGCCACTGAGGCAGGGACATTCTCTGTGCCTGCTCTCCCCAAAGACTTGCATCCTTACAAGCAAGCTGTCAATACTGACAAATGCTAAGAGTAGGCAAGGAAAGGATGATGTGGCTGTGTGGCTCTTGGAGGTGGGGAGATGACCCCTGGCAGTCTTGACCCATCAGAAGCACAGGTGCTGAGTAGAGATGTGATCTTGTCTCTGGCCCCAAAAGTGTTTCTGTAAAAAGAAAGGGATGTTTGAAGGAACCGTAGAGCAGCCTGGCTGCCCCACAAACATGCTGATCCAAACCTCTCACTAGGAATGGTCCCATTCACTCCAATCCAGCGTTTTCCTTGCTCATCAACTATCTAGCGTTTTCCTTGCTCATCAACTATCCATCATCCACATCATGTAGGTGATGTAGTCCTGGGCACTCTCGCAGGCACCCAGAGCTGTGCAGTTTTGGCCCCCCATTTAGCTGTGTCTGTCAGGGACAACAGAGAGCTGGCCTGTAATAAACCCAAACCTCTAATGATGTGTGCTTTGAATTCCCAGTCACACCAGTGAAGCCTCCTACATCTGTCCTTGTGGCATTTTTCATCCTCCTGACTCTCAGGTTGCCCGGAGAGGTGATGGATTCCTCATCCTTGGAAACACTGAAAGGCGGGCTGGGCAGGGCTCTGAGCTACCTGACCTGGTGGAAGATGTCCCTGTCCTTGGCAGAGGGAGGTTGGACTAGATGTGCTCTAAAGATCCTTTCCAGCCCAAACCATTCCATGGTTATATGATCTTACACTGCATCTGTAGTAGGGTATGACAGCTTGATCAGCATAGCTGAGGACAAGCTGCAAAATGAAGGTGGGCTGAACTAAACATGACAGAGCTGTCCTACACTAAGACCCATGGCTGTCCTGAGACACCACGAAAGAGGGCAATTTTAAGGGAAAGATTTGGGGAGATTTGCAGAACCAAGATCTTTTCTCCAGCCTCTAGAAATTGACCCTACCATACTTTTGTCTGCATTCAAGTATTTTCTGTTCCAGCCTGGCCAAGCAGGCGATGGAGTCCATGGTCTTTGTGTTTGTTGCCCCTTTTGCTATCAGTGTACACTCTAACAAGAGAACTTCTGCTGGTCGCTCTGAGCTCCCCTCAGCAGCTCTCCATTCCTGGCTGAAACGTAACCCCACACACCCTCTGCTTCTCTTTTGGGGTCAGGAACAAACCAGTGGCTCACGTGCCTGGAGGATGGTCTCTGGTCCCTGCCCGAAGCCTTCTGCAAGCTGGAGTGCGAGGCGCCGCCCGCCGTGGCCAACGCCAGGCTCCTGGTGCCGCGCTGCCTGCAGGGCAGCCACGACGTGGGCTCCGTCTGCCGCTACAAGTGCAAGCCCGGCTACCACGTGGCCGACAACGCAGCAGACAAGCCTAAGAAGTAAGTCTGTGGCAGGTCTGTTGTCACCGTTCCTTTCCTCCTCCCAGCGTGTGCAAGGAGCAGAGGTGACAGGACAATGGCAGTCTCAAAGTCTGTGGCGGGTCTGTTACCACCATTCCTTTCCTCCTCCCAGTGTGTGCAAGGAGCAGAGGTGACAGGACAATGGCAGTCTCAAAGACCTGGCTTGATAGGTGATAGAAGGCAGAGCAGCTTGCTCTGATCACACAGATTTCTTGAAATACAAGAGGCATTCCCTGGTGGAGGTGAACCTGGTGGGAGCAAGGTGCTGTTGCACACATGAGTGTGTTAAATACTTTAACCTGAAACAAGCAGATCTTCCTGTGCACCTCAATGTATTTGTCACTCTGTGGAAGTTAAGCACCAAATTAAGTGTTTGTGGAATCCCAGGTAATTGGACATTTACAAGATGCTGGCAGATTCCTGGAGCTTCTGTTTTTCCTAAAAGCGATAAAACATGGAACAGAGGCACTGCAAGAATGAATGGCTGCCTTCTGTCAGGGTTAGCATCTCACCCGCTGTGCCTCTTGGCTAAATTTAATATCTCTAGCAGTGGCATTTCAATGGGAGAAGATTTTTCCTGATGCTTCGGGGAAAAATTCCTGGTGGTTCACTAGCCCTGCTCTCAGCCAATATCATGACGCTGGGGGAAAAAGCAGAGTTTTGTCTGTGACTCCTCCAGCCAAAGTCCCCATTGGGTTTGGTCACTAAAGATTCCCTGGCACAGGCTGGATCCTCCCCAGAGTCTCAATTCTAGCCCAGATCAGGTAATTATGTGTTAATTGTTTAATGCCCCCTTCCAGTTTTAATTGGATGCAGACTTCATCTCTTCTTTGCTCTGGGGTAGAGTTGTTGTGCAGTGGGAAGCAGTTGCCAAATTTCTTGCCTAGTAATGAAGGAAGTGGTTTCTGTAAACAGTTTTTCACAGTGTTAGGAGCATTTCTAGGGCCAAAGGGAACCGAGCAAATGATTATTATGGCAGCAATCACATGGACTGCTTTGCAAGCTCTAGAGCAGCTTTTGTGCCTGTGGCGCTTCAGGCACTGGGCATTCAAACAGATCCACTCAGCTTGCAGAGTGAGGCCCCCTCTGTCCTGCTGCAGCAACTGCTGGTGAAAATGATGACCCCTGGGAGATCTTGAGGCTCCTCTGATGTGTGAGTAACTTCCATATGGGTCTGAGCAGCCTGTGAGAGAAGTCAAAGAAAATCGTGTGAAGCGGTTTACGTTTTCATAGCAATGCATGTTGACATCGTGTTTTCCTCTTTGCAATTGCCACTGCTGCTATTTCATCAGACATCTCTGATGGTGGAATAAAAAACCACATTAACAAAACTAGAAAAAGTATTGCTTTCCTATCATGCAGATTAACTCCTATGTGAGTGGCCCAGCCCAAGCAAAAACCTTTTCTTAGCTTGTAAATGTCATTGTACCATCTCATCAGGAGCTCTTGGTGACTCTCAGCATGAGTACAAGCCCCTTGGTGTGGTGTAGCAGCTCTTAGCCCTTAGGTCAGTTCCTGGACTGCTGGAAATCCTTCTGGTATTTCAGCCCTGGCAAGGAGAGGGTGGGAGCTGCCAGAGTCAGAGGTTGATCTCTTTGATTGTGCCAGTTTTGGAGAAAGGGAGGTGCTGGGGAATTCTGGAAGGAACCAGCTCGGGTAAGGTGCAGGTTCCTGATGTGCTGGGTCTGAGCTGGTGGACATCAGGTTTTTAGGGTCTCCTGCTGTGTCTTTGGGTTCAGAAATCTGAGTTCTTTGTCTGTTGTCTCCCTGTTGTCCACCAACCCAGCAAGCTCAAGCCTTGCTAAAGGATTTAGTGCCATGCAGGTGTGGAGCTACATAAAGGGGCAAGACTCTCTGTGTGTGCTACGTACTGGACAAAAGTCAAACATAATCTGTGGCTGATACTGAACGTTCCTCATGCCCACTAACTAGCTTACCCTTGGAAATACAGACAGGTTTCATTTGAATTATTCTTCAGGCTCTAGATTTGCTCCTTGTGTGGAGTTGCCCACCTTATGCAGGCCTGAACCTCTTTGGGATCCAGCTGTCTCCATGCCAGTGAAGATAATCTTGGACACAGATGTTCATGCAATTGCCTCACTTCTATTTTTTTATTTGAATTTTACTGCAGGAGCAGTAAGGATGCTTAGAAAGGGCTGAGGACATAGTTGAAATTCATTTCCCACAGTTTAAGTGAAAGAGAAAGGGGATGAAGAAATCAGTTGTCCCAGAGATGCTTTTGTCTGTTAAACTAGGTGAGGAAAGGCCCTTGGGAAACCACTGCTTGTCAACAAGGGATCCTTGAGGAAATACTGATTGTGTAATCACAATCCTGCCAGAAAGTTGCTGCCTTCCTGCTGGCAGGTTCATCTGACTGACAGTGCTGACATGAAGGGTAATGCTTCTTTGCCTCTTCCTAAAGGAGGTCTGTTATCAGCCTGGAGAGGCTCCCAGCTGCCAGGCTACTTCACTTCTAATTCCACTGTAAGGTAGCAAGGGGAACTTAACAATGCATTTGTGCTTTGTGATGGGAACTTTCTGGATTTAGGCAGAACTTGTGCCATGGCAGTACCAGCCCAACACCTGGATCACACAAAGATATGAGCTGTCAAGGAGAAATGTTCAGCATCGCCCAGAGCTGTAGCATTGAAAAGTGCTGGCCTGAAAGCCAGGGGTCAGATAACTCTGGGGAAAACACATCACCCCACAGTGCTCCTTGCTGTTGCTTCCAGCATGAAGTGCCATCTGAAGCAATCTCTGACAGGAATAGACAAGTTGGATGGGGCTTGGAGAAACTTGGTCTAGTAGGTGTCCCTGTCCACTGCACGGGGGTTGGAATAGGATGGTCTTTAAGGTCTCTTCCAACCCAAAACAATACCATGATTGTGTGATTGTGCTCCCTTAAGGAGCACTCTAATGTTGAGAGGATGCTCTCAGTTTGGGGATCTAAAAGGTCAGACCCTTCAGGGGACTTGTTTCACTTGCCAGATGTGGGATGATTCCTTGGAGAGAAGAGATTTGGGGATCTCAAAGCTGCCTTTGTGAGGGCTTGAGCTCCATCTGCTAGCTTGAAGGAATGAAGCAAAGAACCACTTTGGTATTTTCAGGCAGATTTGAGAGTCTCAGCCTGCATTTTGACCAGAGATCAAGGAAGCCCAGCACAGTCCCCAGTCAGCTTCCATGGAGATGTCAGCCCCTCTTCCCTCTCTCCCTGTTCAAAAACAGCAGAGACCATGGAAGAGGGAGAGGAGGTGGGAGAATGTGGAGGAGAAAATGGGGACTGGAAGGAGTTAGCAGACTGGGGACTGGAAACAAAACAAAGTCCACAGTGGAACAAGCAGGACAGCCTTATCCAGGAGCACCAGGCAGTATGTGGTGGGCACAAAGGCACTCCCTGCCTCTGCCTGTATCTGCCCCCTTCCAGATAAAGGGCAAATACAGCTGTGGGAGCCAAGGAGCCAGGTAAAGAAAACACAGGCTGCCAACCAGGTTCCTGTCACTTCCACCTCTAAGATATCTGAGCATTTACAGCCCAGGTTGTCCAGGGTGTTTGGAGGGAGCACAGCAGTGGAGGGTCCTACACACTGCTGCAGCTTTCTTTGAATTTACTGACAAATCTCTCTCCTTCCCCCCTATTCTTTTTGAAGCCATCAGTATCCTGCCATAGGAGATGAGGCTTTAGGTTCATTTGTCACCAGCAAACCCACTCCCCCCAAGCTGGCTGCCTCAGAAGATGGCTGGATCCCTGCATGTTCAGCTCCTGGAGCTGAGCATGTGCTTGTGCCTTCACCTCAGATACAGCCCTTGCTGGCCTCAAACACCTCCCTTGCCTCCTCTGTCCATTAGGCTTGCCTGGTTGGAGGGGCTGACTCTGATTTTCCTGGCTTCCTTGTTAACCCTCAAGAAGTGCCATTGACCCAGATCAGAAGAAGTTGCAGGGTGAGAGGGGATCCAGAAATTTCCAGCTCCTGTGAAGTTGTGTACATTTATGTATATACTTTTTTTTTAAAGCCTTTCCTTTCCCTTCAGTTCATGCTTCCACATGAACTGCTTGTTTTACATGTGTGGGAGTGGTCCACACCCCACCCTCTACCCTGGGGTCAGCCTGGGCTAACTGTGTTTGAAGTCCCTGGGTTGAGCATCCACAGCAAGGTGGTCTGGGGGGGTGTGCAGGTTTGGGGGGAGCTGTGAGAGGCCATACATGGCCTCGCTGTGACACCACATCAAATGAGGAGCCCTGTGAGGATGATGGGGCTGCAAACCACAGCCTGCACCTGAGCAAACTGCAGCTGCCACAGTGTGTCCTCCCTGGGCCTGACCCATCTCCCTGGGCACAGGGCTCCTGACGTGACCTGGAGAGCAACAGGGAGGGGCAGTGGCCGGTGAAAAGTCATGTGGACCATGCTCCTGGTCTTTAAAGGAGTTTGCTCAGTGCCTGAGGGATTGCTGTCATAGTGACTTCACACCAGCAGTTTGTTTCTATCTCCATAACCCCCAGTGCTTTGCCCCTTCCAAGTCCTGCAGCTGGATCATACCCTGTGAGCCAGTAGGTTCAAGAAGGGGAAAATGCTGTTTGTGGAGCTGGACATCCAACATGGATTAGTACCTCTTAGCATGTGCCTTTGCTTACCTTTAAACTTGGGCAGGGCAGAGCATTCAGTCAGATTTGGGAGAAGGCAAAGTCTGATGGGGACATCTTTGCAAGGCAGTGACTGCCATCCTCATGGAAAGGGAAGGCAAACAAGGAAGTTAAATGAGGAATGGAATGAAACCACAGATGCCTACAATGGAATCCAGAGTTCCTCCACCTCACCAGTTTTCTGAAATACTTCATAGCTGCAGTTCCCTTAGTTAATTCAAGGCTGCTGCTGTAGGAGTGATGTTGCAGCAACCCTCACTGCTCGGGTGCTCACACCACAGCCATCCTCACTTCCCAGGTGGGCTGCAGGGAAGATTTGTGCAGAGCTCTGTGCCAGTGGACTTGCTGCATGCCATTCCCTACCATGCCTGCCTCTGTGTTCCCTGCATTCACCTGGGGAGGAACCCACTGTCCCTTTATAGAGTCACAAAAACCAGATGCCTGGTTTCTGAAGGGAAAAGGGGACTCTCCAAGAGCTACAAATACTACAAATATTTTAAAATATGAGAATGCTGCAAAAACCTTTAAAATGTCTCATCCAGGAGTTCCCAGCAGAAATCTGAGAGGGAGCCACCCCTGGTCTGGCAGCAGGATGCAGATGGGGTCCCCTTGCTTCTCCAGCCTGTGTGACCCTGTACCATGTGTGGAGGCACAGCTGGGTGGCCCCACTCAATGTCATGACCCTGCTCCAGGTGTTAAGGGGCACATGGGTGGCCTCACACTCTGTCTGCTGCCTCTCAGAACAAGGGGCAATTTAGTGCCTTCCCCCAGGGGTTCCTCTAACCCCTGGCGGCCCCCTCCACATACCTGTGGCAGGCCATAAACTCCCTAACGTGGTGCCTGGAGCCCTGCCTGCTGGCACCCATGCTGGGAGAGGGCAGGGGCAGGCACTGGAGTGGGCTGTCTAGTAAAGGGGGACAGGAGTGGGGGAAAAGCCTCCTTAAGGATAGAGCAATCAGCTTTGGCTCAGGTAAAGCCCATCAGGGCAGTGACATGTCCTCTGCTGAGACAGCAGTCCTGATGCCTCAGCAGTTTCGATGCCTCTGTGTAAAAGTTGTGGTGTCTCTATCACTGCCAAGGGACAGTGAAAAGTGGGTGGGCTCTGCTCCTGGACTTTTTCTTTCTTTTCTTGGCAAGTAGCTCGTGTCTGGGCTGTTTTAGCAGCATAGGGTGGTACTGGTCTGCTGCAGCCCCTTGGCCAGAGCAGGATTGACAGATCTGGCTGGAGTACAAAGAGGAGCCTCAGGAGCAGCTGGGCACAGGCCAGAGGATTTACTGGTGGAGGCAAACTCCATCCAGCAAAGTATGCAGCTACTGGCTGGGGGACAAAGCAGAGCAGGACCTGCAGGGACTGTGGGAGGAAGGGTTTAGGGGCACCACAAGAGGTGGGGAGCAGTGGGGTGGCAAGTGCAAGGGAAATGCATCCAGTGCTCCTAGATGGGTGCAATCCCCCCAGGGAGGAGAAGAAAAGGTCCTGGTTAAGCATGGGGTGTCCCTTTGGGAGATATGCCCATGGTGAGGGATTATATAGCATGGGAAAGTCCTACACAAACTGGGCATGATGGTTCTCTGGGAGAGATGTCTTCAGTCTGCTCCTGACATCTGTGGGTTGCCTGGCACAGCCAAGGTGCAGCGTTTGGGGTTCTGCAGGCCAGCCTGGTGTCTGTGTTTCCCCAGGAAGTTCCTGAAGGTGCAGTGCCTGGAGAGTGGGCAGTGGGAAGAGGGACACTGCGTGCCCGTGGTCTGCCAGCCCCCGCCCCCCGTCTTCGAGGGCATGTACAACTGCACGCAGGGCTTCGAGCTGGACAGCCAGTGTGTGCTCAGCTGTGAGCAGCAGGGACAGCAGGTGAGTCTGGGGGAGGCACATACTGACCACACCTCGTGTTTCAGCAGCTACAAACTGCAGGGCTCCCTGTGCCCTGCTGTGCCGAGGGGCGCTGCAGCAGTTTTACCCATCCCCAAGGCCAAATACCCTTTTACCACCAAGGAGCAGTCCCTCTACAAGCCCAAAGGCTGGTCTTGCTGGGCCCCATACATGGCACAAGGTGCACCACTGCCTGGGGATGCTCACCTGTGTGATGGTGTTCACAGAGGTCTCAGGTTGAGGGAAGAGATGAGGATCTGACTCCATGTTTCATAAGGCTTGATTTATTATTTTATGATATGTATTACATTAAAACTATACTAAAAGAATAGAAAAAAGGATTTCATCAGAAGGCTAGCTAAGAATAGAATAGCAAAGAATGATAAAGGCAGCTGTCTTGGAGACTCTGTCTGAGCCAGCTGGGCTGTGATTGGCCATTAATTACAAACATCCAACATGGGCCAATCACAGATGCACCTGTTGCATTCCACAGCAGCAGATAATCAATGTTTACATTTTGTTCCTGAGGCCTCTCAGCTTCTCAGGAGGAGAAGAAAAGGATTTTTCATAAAAGATGTCTGCTCCTGCTCCCTGGAAAGCAGTGGTCCTAAGCAAGCTGGCTTATCTTGTGTGAAAATGGTCAGAAAGCATAAGTAGGGGGTTTCCAGTAAGTTTTGGGAGCTGCTGTGAAAGCATTCACTTTGATGGGCAAGCTTGCTGCAGCAGTTGTGCTCACCAAGGGGCTTCCCTGGCCATGGATGCTGCTGCCTGCCTGCTCTTCCACACAGGTATCTTAGCAATGCTTGGAAAGGGGCTTGTCAGGAGAAGGGTGGCTGATCCCTCTGGTGGGATCCAGCAGCAGCTGGGAAACAATTGCAGTCCTGGTCATAGGCTGGGCCAGATTGCTGCAGCCCAGCTGCCTTGAGGAGCTTTTCTCTGGTGGGAGGGGTGTCCTTGCACACAGTGCTCCCCAGAGATGGGCAGTGGGCAGGCAGAGTGGGTAACACCAGCTGCTCTCCCTCTGCTTTGCAGGTTCCCATCGTCTGCACTAAGGAGGGCTTGTGGACAGAAGAGTTCAAGCTGTGTGAGAGCTTGCAGGGCACCTGCCCACCACCCCCAGAGCTGAACTTCGTGGAGTACAAGTGTGAGCAGGGGCATGGCATAGGTGAGGGCAGATGAAAACCAAACTTTGTGTTGACTCAGTAATCCCAGAGAGCTGATACTCACAGCAGACTATAGATGGACTCTTCCTGTACCAATCCCCAATTAACAGAAAAAATAAATCCTGTTTTCTCTTCCATGATCTTTATAAACACAGAGCCAGGAAGGTTTTACCCTTGTGCTCACCCTGCACTTCTGGGCAAGACCCAAATCTAAAGCTGTCTCTAGCATTAATCATCTCTCTTTTCAGAAGCAGCAGGGATTGTCTTTAGGGCAAACCCAGCTTTTTGCACATTTTCCTGATCTGGAGCCCTCCATCTTTCCTGAGGTCTCCACTTGCTACCACTGCTGCTGTTTGCAGGGTTAATGTGACAGGTCCCAGACAAAAGCCATAAAAGCTGCAGTGACAATTGAGTGTAACAGGGCACTTTCACCAGAGGAGGGACCGCATCATCCATTTCTGTCTGCAGGAACTGGATGCTTTGTGCTTTCAGGAAAACCTGAAACACTCAGCCATGGTTGTTGCATCTGGTCTAGCATCCCACTGGGCAGGGTGCTTGAGCTCAGCCCATATTGCTCTGAAGGAAACACACCAGTCATCCCAGTCTGGTCAAACCAGGCTGAGGACAGTCTAATATCAGGGACTACTGAGGTTAAGCTCAGGACAGACCTGATTCAAGGCTAGGATCAAGGCTAGGACTGGGATCCCACTTGTTTTTCTAAGGTGGTTTCTGCTTTTTTTTTTTTTTTTTTTTTTACTCCTGTGTCATGGGAAGGCAGTGGGGATTCTCTGTGGTGGAAAAATTAGAGACACTTCTTAACAGGTCAGCAAACGTCATGTAACATCTAGGCCAGACTTATTTCCATGCTGGGTCCCATGTCCTGCAGTCAAGGTTGGAATTTTTCTCTTAGGTTGTGTTCAGTTTTCCTTTCATCTGTGAGAAGAGAATTGGGCACAACTCCTGTAGACTCTAGCATAATTCAGGATTTGGGGAGGGAATTGCTGTCCCAGGCTGGGAGATAAAGCGTCCTCTTTACATCTCTCTACCATCAGTGTGGCCTCCTACAGGACATTGATGCTTGGCTCCAGGTAATGTCCTCAAGGCTCTCCCTCCTCCCACAGGTGCTGTGTGCATTCCTTCCTGTATCATTCCTCCCAGTGACCCGGTCATACTGCCCAAAAATGTCACTGCTGAGACAATGGATCACCGGCTGCAGCCCACCAGAATCCAGGTAAAAGGGGGGGAGAATTCTTCTAGCAGGGGCATTGCTGGCATCACAGAGAGGGAACCTCCCTCCCTCTCCATCTGGTGTTTTAACCCAAAACCTCTGCCTCAGGTGAAGAAGGGTAAGGCTTGTAAAGACAAGTAGTGGATGCTCTCGTATTCCAAAGTTCAGCACAGTTATCAGCTCCCAAGCCAGCTTTCCAGGAATTGCATGATACCACAATATATGAAGTTTTAATGCAAGAATCCCACTGATTTTTCAGGATGTGCTGTGTGCCTAGACCTGTTAAGCTACTGTTTATTGTCAGCCAGTGTGCTGGGAGAGCAAAAGCTGCCTCTGGCACAGTGTAAGCCTGGGTCCCCACTTACCTGGCAGCAGAGATGCAATCCTAGGCAGGCATTTCCCTGCCAAGGAAGAGGCAGGGCACTGTCAGCTGAAAGGTGTCTGCAGCTGCCAGGACCTGCTGGCCGGCTGGGTGCCTCTGCTGCTGGAACAGGGGAGCCTTTCCCTCCCCACTTCTTACTCATTTTGTAGGCAAAGCAGCTCAAATAGCTCAAATACTTTGGATCCTCGTGGTACGACTTTACCAAAAAGCAGCTCTGCCGGGGTAATATTTCTTAAAATAAAAACGAGATGTATAAGGAAGGAGGTGGAACAAAGAAAAGCAAACAATCCTCCCAGGAGCCAGTGCTCCCATCCAAATGCTTTCCCCTCCTCCTGGGAAGCCGCAGGAGGCCCAGCATCATGCCTGTGGATACTCCTGTGCACTGCCTTGAATCAGACCCGCGGCTGCCGGGGGGGCGAGGATGCCTGGGGCATGCAGGATGGTGAAGCACGAGCCTTGGAAGGAGTCCTTGCCTTTGAGGGATCGCATGGCTTGGCCCGTTGAGGCAGTGGTGTTCAGCTTCCCTTTCACCACCCCTGCAGACTTTCGTGCAAGGGAGGCATTTTGCAGAGAGGAGACACTATTTTAAGAAGGAGCTCTGTCCTTTGCCAGGAGCTCTCTCCCCAGACCATCTTGTTTTCCTCTCTGTCCTGGCTTCTGTCTCCGCTCCCCACTTGGCTCCCCCAAGCCTCCAGCAGTTTGCTGTTCCCGGGAGCTGCCATGCTCCATCAGATGGAGAGAATGGGGCAAACAACACAGGGAACTGCACAGGCCACTCAGAGAAGGCACAGTCCTGTTCTGCTTTCAGCTCTGATTCATGGCATGCCACAGCTGAGCAGGTTTATCTCTCTGCCCTTATTTCCCAGCCTGGAATATGAGTACACTAATATGAGTATGCTAAAATGGCATCTGAGTTGCACAACAGCCACATACAAAGCAGCTCCATGGGGTTGGGATGCACGCATCCTCTTGGCTGAGCAGGATCTGGTGGGCTCTGGAATTCCCTAGTCTTTGCCCCATTAAGCTGGCTCTCTCTGGGGCTGGCTGAGGAGGGCCAGGACCTCATCCTGCTCCAGCCTCGTCACAGTCTGGACCAAGGATGCTGAAGTAAAGAAGGACCTGGAGCTGGTTTGTGTGGGCAGAGCTGCCCCATTCCCCACCTGGGAATGCTGGAGCCAGTCTTCCTGCCCCTGAACATATCAAACAAGGCTGGGAGCAAACACACCTACCCCTCTGTGCAATTCCCGTGCTGTGAAGGGCATCCTAGGACACTTTCACAGGCCAGATGCTGTTTTATGGGGCCTCAGATTTCAAAGCCTGCCTGAGCTTTACAAGGAGGAAATTGCATGTGTGGTGGGGCTTTTCTTCCCCCTGTGTAATCATCAGTGTTCCCCACAAACCCCAGCTAAATGAGCAGTGTGGAGTGTTCCAGGGCTGGAAAACTGAGCCCTTCACATCTTGCTCTTGTGTCCATCTGGCTGCAACAGCTGAGTTTGTAAATACCAGTGAGAACCTCAGAGTGACCGTCAGCCTGGTGTATCTACTTCAAGTCAGGTCTGGGGACATGAGTCCTCCCTCCCAGGATGCAGTTTTCAGAGCCTGAGCAGGGATCAGTGAGCCAGTTGTAGGTACTGTGTAGGTACTGAATACTTGTAGGTACTGAATTCACCAGCTGGTGAATTCAGCATCACACATAGATATGATGGTAGATTCCAGCCTCTTGTGGCTGCTTACCCCCAGCTGGTCAAGTCAGACATAATGGTGGCACTGCCAGCCAAACACACTTCTCAGGTAGTCTCTGTCCTTTCCGTTTGTCCTCTTCCAGTTTTGTATCAATATAGAAATATAGGATCACTAAGGCTGGAAAAAACTTCCAGGATCAGCAAGTCTAACCAATATACATCTCCATACACACACACGAGGTGTGTGTATGTCTGGCCTCTGCCTTGAACAATGTGCCCTGGTCTGTGGGTTCCTGGGTGCAGCTACCCTGGCTTTGCCGGTCCTGGGGGTGTCAGTGCTGTTCTGCTCCACAGTGAATAATGCAGTGCTGCAGGAGATTCTCTAGCTCCAGAACACACTGCTGGCTGTTCCCCTCCCTCATCCACCTCAGCTAACTGCTGCCTTCTCCTCCTCTCCAGAACATTGTGTGCACGGGCAGGCTGCGGTGGTACCCGGACCCCTCTGTCATTCACTGCATCCAGTCGTGTGAGGTAAGCCCTCCCTGTCCCCAGCTCAAGCTGCCTGCTCCTTCCAGGAGAGCTCCTGCCAGTGAAGACCTGCTCCAGCACAAACCAGACACCTTTGTCCTTATGTTTGCTCCGAGCTGGGCTTGCTGGATGAGCAGAGATAGCAGAGGAAGCACCCTTGGGTAGAGTCCCCACAGCCAGGATGGTGCTGGGGAGCAAGAGCTGCACAATAACCCATTTCCTTCCTTGCCTGCTTCTTTTTGGCCAGCCTGGGCAGAATATTCTAGCAAAAGGATTTCACTGGCAAGGGGTATCCCCCAAAAGCCTGAGCTGACTCCAAGCTGGAATGTTTCCCTAACCAGAACCGCAGTTCTAGAGTAACATGGGTCCAGAAAAGCCCTGTGTGACTCACCTGTCCAAATCAAACAATCAGGATTTCCAGCCTTGTGTATGCAAAACAAACTGCTTCTGAAGAATCTGCAGACAAAGAATTCCTTGCAGAAATTGGTTAGCCACTCATTTAGCTTTGAATAATGACCAGGCAGGAGAAAATCATAGGCAGCCCGGAGTCAGTTCACAAAGGAAATTAAAAATAGGCAGTCTTTGTCAAGCACTAGTTGTTATTATGATTGAGGATAAAAGGAAAAAGGGGGGAAATTTTGGAATGTTGTATGCTGAAAATTTGGGATTTTTACCAAAAAGGAAAATGTAAATGGAGTTTGCACACCAAAAATAGCTTTGGGGTTTGCTGATTGTATTTTTTTCTTGTGCTCATTTCAATGCAATGATTGCTTTTCCTCGCTGGTTCTGCTGAGCTCAGCTCTTTGTGGACTGCAGTGTGGGGGAAAGGGCAATGTTGCAGGGGGCACGTCCCCAGGAAGGAAACCTCATGGTCTACAGAAGGTGCAGCAATTATTTCCCAAATTTGATGCCTGTGTTGTGCCTGTCTACTGCAAGACAGGCAGAAAGAGTAGGGGAATGAGGTGCTGTGTGCCTGAGAGGTGTTTGGTGATTGAGTACCAGAAGTTAGTGATTCTCTGACATTTTGGGAGCTCTGTGTCTTCTAAACCACATCTTTTAGCACAAATCTGGGGTAATGTGTTTGAAATGGGATGGCTTAAGTGGAAGAGCAGACCAGATGGTTGAGTGATTGTCTCTGTGGTGGTTCTGCTAGCAAGGGAGAATTTCTTGTGCTCTCTGGGACTAGGTCCTTTCAAAAAAAGAAGCCAATGGAGTGTGAGGTGTTTCTTCTTCCCTTCCTGTGCAGCTCAGGTAACATGAAGCTGACACAATTGTGAGGCCTCTCCCTCAGGCTCAGGTGCACCAGATTGACCCTAGTGTTTCCTCCTCTGTGGTTCCTGTGCTTCACCTTGGGTCTGTGTTCAGTGAGAGTTCCCATAGGGAATTATGAAAAATGCCAGTTTATTTGTCTGTGTGTGTGAGAGACAGACACACTGAGTTCCTGAAGTCCCAGTGTAAGTCCCTGTGCTCTCATCAACCACTCAAACATGCTCACAGCCAACATAAGCTCCTTCTGTTCCTATCTGCTTGTCGCCCTCCTTTACTCTTAGAAAGCAGCCCCAGGCAGGACTCTTGGCACACAGAAGGTTAACCAAGCCAAAATCTTGCAGTGTCCCACCAGAAGATGGAGAGATTCCATGTTCTTCATCTTTGTAGACTTTTAAATGCTTTTTCTGCTTTCAATTACTGTTTCATCAGGAATGACCAAGCAGTCAGTACATGTTCTTCCATCCCAGGTCCACCAAAGCCCTCCATAAAGATTCCTTGTTGCTGGAAATGTCTCTTTTGATGGGACACAGGACTATATCTGCTGTTTCTGCAGTTGCATCAGTCTGGCAGTTCAGATATCCTGAGCTCAGCAAGTACACCCAGATCTTTCTCTTCCTCCTTTGTTTCCAACTGATGAGCACCAAGCTAACAGCAGATGTTTTGCTATCAGTACAAGAGCTTGCCCTTCAATTTTATAGAAGAGAATGTCGTCTTGTTTCTCTCTCTAGTCCTTCAGGTCATCTAACTATTATTTAAATGTCCTGATCCTCCTCTGTGGAACAGTGCCTTCTTCCTTGTTAGCACTTGCATCAGGGCAGGCCTATTCTTAAGGTCACAGTCACTCACTGTAGCACTAATGAAGATTCATCCTCAGATAGTGTCATTTGCCCTTAAGCTCTCCTTTTTGATACAGCTCCCAGCCTCCTCCTCATCCCTGTTGTCCTTATCACTTCTCATACATGTCTCGATTGATTCTTTTCCATGTGTTTCCTCCTAGGGTGCTGCAAGCTGTTAAGGTTGGACCAATAATCCATATTTTCCCAGATAACTTTTTTGCCCCACATGAGTTTCATAATAGTCATTGTTTTGCTGTAAAGAGTAGCTCTTACTGAAAGTGCCTCAAAGTATTGCTCTGGGAGCTGCTGCAGGGAGATGTCACCAATCTCCCCATTTGACCACAGAACACTTTGAGTGTTGTTTCTACCTCATCTCTGCTGACTTTCATCCTCATTCCTGGTCCTTTCTGCCCTCCTCCTTGTGAAGAAAAACTCTGCAGTTCTCAGAGGCTGTTTCACTTCCCCCAGTTCCTTGTGGATATGGAGGCATCCCACAGCAGGAGCAGGATAGAGAAAGACTATAACCTGTACTCTGTCCTCACCGCATGGCAGCCCCCCTCACACACATGATTCAGCTTCACTTGCCATGGGTCATATTAGTCCCAGCTTCCCTCTCATTTCATAGGAGCCCCTCAGTGGAGACTCCTCCTTTAAGAGCCCAGACTCTGCCATCCTTGGGCAGTGAAATGCTGTTCCAGTGGGCTGTCCATGTCACCTCAGGTCTGAGTCACCCCTTGGAGATTCCATTGTCTCTCCATTGACTGCCAAGTGTGTGTTGGATCAGGAAGTTTTCTCTTCTGGATGCCACGGTGCGGGGAGCAACCCTACATAACAGAAATCCAGGTCACCTGGCAGCTCCTCCTGTCTCTCTCTGGTGGAGTCACTTCAGGCCGGGGCATGGGAGCAGTAGCCAAGGCCCAACCTTCCCAGCTCCATCTGGAGCTCTGCCTCATATTGGAAAGTCCAGGTCACCATGCAATGGCATTAGAGGGACTCTCACTCCCTCCCTCCCTAAAGAGGGACTGCATCTTTATCCTCTGCTGGCGGTGGATCAGCCCGCCTGCTCATCCCTGCGCTCCTCTCCCACCTCCCTTCTCTTTCCGTTAATCTGGTCATCCATCTGCCTCCCTCTCTCTTGCTGTGCCTTGCCAAGTTCCCCAGTGCTGGAGCAGTGAGGCACGTACGTCAGGGAGGGAGGGAAGGAGGGAGGGAGGGATGCAAACCCTTCCAGGAGCCCGTCAGGAATTCGAGTTAGCGCCGAGCGCACTTTGCCTTTCGAGGGCCAGCGGAACATCTCGTCCCCTGCCATCAGTAGAAAAACAGATGGCGGCACCAAGGGAGGGGGCTTGGGGCTGTCAGGAGAGGCGAGTGGAGGAGGAGAGAAACCCCTCCTTCCCACCATGGGTTGGGAGGAGGTGGTTTTGGTCCTGGTGATGTGTTGGACTGCTGTGAGGGAGGTGTTTGCAGTGTCTGGATCACGCTCTCCTAAGCCATCCCAAGGTGATCACCTCTGATGCATCATCCTCCTGTGCTCAAGAGCAAGTGAGACTGTTGACTTCAGAGGAAGAGACAGCATGTACAGAGATGCAGGTTGCTTCCTTGGACTGTTCCTGCCATGGTCCAAAGCAGTCTGTGCATGAGCATAGCTGCTATAGGGCACCTCGTAGTCTGTGCCATGCCCTACACCTGCACCCCTCTGTCCCCACCACAGTACTTCACACTGTAGATGTGGTTTAGGTGGAACAGTTCACTTGTTTCATCATCATTGTGTTTACCCAATGTTATTCACAGGGCAGGGTAACCACCATTGTCCTGCTCAAATGCACTCAGGGAAAGCCAGGCTGCTCTTGCAGTGACCAGAGTGAACTTGGGCAGCCAACACATTGTGCAACATGCTGGCCTCCTTCTCACCTCCAGCTTCGTGTCATTATGTGCAGGTAGCAAAGGGTTAATTGGAATGGACTTGGACTTGAGGTCTCTGCTTCATGCTCTGGATGAAGATGGGCAGAGAACAGCACTCTGTTGTGAGCATGAGCTGCACGGAATTTCTCAGGTCTGCCTTGCATGAGGACAAGGTCTCACTGCCCTCTCGTGTTGCTGGTCATGTTATCACAATCATAAAACATGAATCTGTTCTGTTTTGTGGTTTTCCTGAGGTATTACAATGGAAATGATGAAATAGGGACTGAAGTGTGTTTGTGGTTGCAAGTTGTGCCTGAGTCTCTTGATCCAACAGGTAGTGAAGCACCCTGAAGGATTCTTAGCTCTTCCCACCAGCATGCGCAAAACCCTCACTCGGCACATCTGTGGCTTGTGTCCAGCATTTCTCAGTCAGAATTAACTCTTTGGAAGGCATATGCAATAGGGATGGTGGGGAGTGTCCCTAAAATCTGCTGTTGTCTCATGTGGTGGGAGTCAGGGTGACACTTGTCCCCTGGGGCAGCACTGCAGCTGGGCTCCAGCTGCCTCTGCTCCTCAGTCTCAGTGGGGCTGGAGACCCGTGGTTCTCACTCATCCCAGACTTGTGGGTCTCTAATTTTGTACCATGGCAGAACTCAACACAGGAAACTGGTAAGAACTGTGTTGCTGGCAGAATGCTCTGCTCCAGGAAAGATTGTCCTCTGTTCTTCTGAGGCTAAAGGCAATGAGTACCAGAGGCATCCCAGCTGCACCAAGGAGACTCTCTAGAGCAACTACAGCAGCATGGCCAGAATTTAGTCACTCTCTCATGATTCACACATCTTTCTTCTCTCTTGGGCCAGGCAGTGTGCTCTGCCTTCCACCCTGTTTAATGTAGCTTTTACAGTGAGAGGGCATGAGGAGCAAGGGCTGCAGGTAGTGGTCACTTCTGCATCAGACCTGACCTCTGACTGGTGAAGGCAAAGCCCTTCATGCTGG